TTATCAACATGTATGCAATTTTGAACCTTTAAATTTGGAAACAAACTTATTTCTGCATTAACACTGAATGTGGAATAAACAAATGACACACGAGCAAGTCAGTTTTAAATAAAAGGCATCAGTGGTATTCATTACTTGTGGTATATTCAGCATTTTTAAAATCTATTCGGGATTTATGTTTTCTTGTTTATTCATTTTTCTTATTTTTTATTCTCATTGTTTTCTCCTGTAATAAGTGTCATCGCTGCTGTGACGTCTAGCTTTCCCCACTGAGGAACAATAAAGGGATTTTCTATTCTATTCATCTATCTGCAGCCTTTCCACTTCCTGTTTACTGTAGGTTAAATCTTTTCTCACGGGCCAACAACAAAATAAAAATATCATTTTATCTTAAATGAAAATGCAACATCTCACCTGTTAACTTTCATGTTTTGGAGCAGAAAAAGAGCATAAAACCAACATATTTAAAGCTCAGTTTGCTCCACTGGTTTACTGTGATGCTCACCTGTTCCAGCCAGATACCTGCATCATGGGGTTGATCTGAGCTGAGGAGGAGACTCCTGTTGTTTTGTTCATCTTCATCATAATAATGACAACATTAGATGACAACAGGTGCTCACATAGGTTTGTGCTGCTGAACATGTCTGAGCAGCTTGACCACGTTGTTGTGTGTCGGGGAGGAAACACAACCACAGAGTCATGCTGGTTTGAGCGTGTCGCTGCTCGCTGGAGTTATATCAGCTCTGTCTGGACGTTAGTTGGAACACTTTTTCTTTCAGTCGTGAACACATTACTGAGCGGTTAGAATCTCCGTTTCTGGGCTTCAACGTCAGAAAACAGCTGAGTGAACTCGGCGCTGAGTGAGAGGAGTGTTTAGTTTGTCCGAGACAGCGGAGCTGCAGACACCGGCAGCAGGCGCCGGAAAAACACAAAGGAGGGGGCTTCGTCGGCTCCGCGCTGACGCCGCAAAGCATCATGGGAGTTGAAGTCTTTGCGGTAAAAACGGCCAGCGGGCCAGTTTTAATATATTTTTGATATTTATCTCACGGGCCACATAAAAATGCTCCGCGGGCCGCATCTGGACTGCGGGCCTTGACTCTGACATCTGTGCTATATAGGGTTTCAAACACATAGAGCTGTGATAATGCCCTATCCACTTTGTGGGCCAGTCGGGGCCCTCTATTCATCTGATGGGTCAGATGATGCAATAGAGTGGAACAAGATGGCGACCGCTTGTTTGAAACAGCTTTAACATCAATCTTGTCCTATCTGGACTCGGGCTTTATTAGAACCAGGAGCAGATAGATGTATTTAAGACCTTTATTTAGAAAAAATAAGGTTTTTCTGCCTTCTTTAACTGTGGACCGCCTCATTTACCGACATCCGTTGCCATGAGACATGTTGTTTATTGTCCAGTAGCAAGCGGAGATCGTTTGAAAGACAACGGTAGCACCCGCCCCACAACCGAGAGCCCCCAATGGGGCGTTGTCAGGCCACTCTCTAGGGCCATGTGACGAGGTCTTTCATGTGAATGGGGAGACATGAGTGTTTGTTTTCTCTCTCTCCTACTGGTCATTGGAGGTTCAACATGACACCTCATGATAAAGAACTCTCTGATGATCTGAAAAAATAAAACTGTTGTCAACAAACATGCACACAACAATGGCTGTAAGAGTGCCGACACCCTGAAGCATGCAGCATGGTGTCGAGTCTAGTTCATTGAGATGAACTGTGATGCTCTGAGAGTGAAAGATGAGGATCACTTTGGACATGGCCCTTGTTAGATGAGGACTTTGTTTTATTTACCCGTTTTGTATTCAGTAAAAAAAATCAACATGGCTTTTTCACTAACTGAGGAACATTTGATGTTAGATATGATTTGTTGAATCCCAAATCTCTGATTTGATTCAGAGCTGTTTTCTTACTAAGTCTGATTTTTGTCCCTGACCTCTGACCTGTTCGGGTGACCTACAGACCAGTCTTTCTGACCAGCCCTGAGCTAAGAGATGTGGCCAGAATCATTTAGTGGCACTTTGCTGCCGTCTGCCAATGATGTGAGGTTACCTCAGCAGCTTTAAAAGGTCAGCAACACAATCTAAATTCCCTCAAGCTTGATGAATGAATGATTCTTGGTTTTTGGCTTGACTTAATCTAAAGTCTGTGAGCGTGTTCATAAACAAACTCACCCTGCCGCAGCAGAGACGATCTGGTAACATCTGAGCATGAAACTGATGAAAACATCCAGTTTAAAATTGCAGGGGAATAACCTCGAGCTGTTCCTCTGGGAACACTGAGGATGAATCAGGCTGCTCACAGGTGGATGTTTGATGTTCCACTCAGCTCCTTCACCTGCCTCTTGTTTCTCAGGCTGCTTGAGGGACATTCAGCCTGTCGACTGGCATCTGTCAGCAAACATCATGACGTTGCCTCATCCATCTGACTCAGAACTTCGCTACAGAACATGCTGGTGGATGGGTAGGCTCGGATGCTCTCAGCCAAGTCTCACAGGGAAGGAATGCCACGGTCTGTAACTGGAGCGTCAGAAAAATCTTGTGTGTGTGTGTGTGTGTGTGTGTGTGTGTGTGTGTGTGTGTGTGTGTGTGTGTGTGTTTGTGTGCGTGGCTGCATATGTTTTATATGTTTTTGGGAATGGGGGGGGGGGGGGGGTTGTCATGTTACAGCTGCTTCATCAATCAACACTGTTGGTTGGTGAGAACGTCCTCCTAAAAATCCATCCAGTTCCAACATTGAGTCGGAGATTTGGAGTCGCATACAGGAGAGGTAAGAATCAGACTGTAATGAGCAAAAGTCCTGATCCACTCCTTTGTTTTTCTTTCAAACTGCCGGAATTTCTTCTGACCGTTTGAATCAGGAATTCTCAAGACTTTCTGAAAGTTTTTAGGTTCCGGTTTTTTACCGTTGCTGCTGTTTGGTTGTGTTAGCTGAAGCCTGTCGGTGCTCTGACCTGCCTCAGCAGGTCATCATCAAACAATTATAATGGGCTGCAACAGTCGACTGAACAGTCAATATGTGTGGAAAATGAAACAAAAACCCACAAGAAACCCACAGTGGGGGTACATATAGCGCTCCACGTAGTAACTGTGTTGCTTGGTGACATGGTGTGTACAACACTCAGCATGGACCAGAGGAAGCAAAGGACAGAGGTGTCTCAGGAGATCAGAAAGAAAAGCATAGATAAGCATGTTCCATGGGTTTATTTATTCGTGAAGTACTCCACGTGTTGACAAGTCTTTTTCTTGATATATCCTTTTACCTGCCTGTGTCTGATTCACCATTACACCCAGGTTTCTCAGAAGTTCTTCTTCTCTGGTGAGGGTGAGCTCTCCTGGCAAGCAGTAATAAATGATGCTTCTCCCAGAGGTCAAGTTGTGCATTACAGTTATAAAAAGGGTTCCCACCGACCAGAGCTGTCCATGAAAGGCTCTGTTAATGATTAAAAATCTGTTAGGAATTTCTTGCAGTCAGTGTCATTGCAGCTCTGCTCGTACATTTGTTTTTAGTTCCAGATCTGTAAAACTATAGGTTTCATCCTAGAGTCCAAAGTTAGCTCTGTTTGTTTGTTGTTGTGGATATGAACCTTCCAGGTCAAACTGTTGAACACATGAGGCTGAAGGAGTTTAACCTTCAACCTTTTTGTACCTCTGACCTGAAGTAAAGATGTGTGGTGGGTTTGTGTGTCTGACCTGGGCACATCTAGAGAATTAAATCTGATCTGTTTAAGGCATCTCATATTGTTTTCATGGAGTCCATCACCAGTTTTACATAATAAATGTTAACTGAACACTTGTTGAAGACTGTCTAAGTCCCTGATTTCTACATCTGATGCAACTTCAACAGGACAACAGCTTTGACGTTAAGAACTTCAGCAGAAAACTGGAAACTAAAACGTAAATGTGATAGAACAAAAGCTAAAAAGAGGAACTCTTGCTCCATTTCTTTCGTCTTCTGCTGTTCTCCTTTTTGTTTTATTTTCTCTCTCTTTTCCACCTCAAACTTTTTTCATCTGTTTGTCTTTTTCACAGATAGATGGATAGCTGCCTTCACTGTCTTCATTCTTGTGTGTTGAAAGCAGAAGGTGTTAGCCTCGCTGGAATTGGAGTGTTCAATGTTGATGGACATGTGCGTGCATGTGTTCATGCATGCGCGTGTGTGTGTGTGTGTGTGTGTGTGTGTGTGTTTAATCTTATAAAAAGAAGAACAAAAGCCTTGGGGTGTTCAACAGCATGCTACGCTCTGTTTTATCTTATTTTTGTTTCTTTTGATGTGATTGTGTTTCCTACATACTTACACTGACACACACACACACACACACACACACGCACACACACACACACACGCACGCACGCACGCACGCGCACGCACGCACACACACACACACACGCACGCACACACACACAGCTGACTACTCGTGTAATCCCACCATATCAAACTGGAGCTGGGTAATCGCAGCTCTGACCACAGAGAGACAGGAGGCTTCTCAAAGCATTCTGGGAGCTCATTGCTGAATTCTTCGGGCTGGAAAATGTCTGCCAGTAAGGATTCATTAAAGCCAACCTGCTGCAGCAGCGCCTGCTGGAATGAGAGGTTCTACACTATTTGGGCTCTGCAGTGACTGTGATTGAACCTGGACAACCAGTTAGAGCTGGGTTTGACTCTAGATGGCCGGGCTCTGGTTGAACCCAGAACTCTAAGAGCTGCATGCATTTACATTTTAATTCTGTCAAATGATGCAACCATTTAATCTGTTCCCAGTTTCAGGATTTCATTTAAAACGTTTCCAGTAGTTTCTGGGTGGTTCTGAATCCGCTACTAGAACGACTCGGTTCATTGAACCAGACTGTCAGAGCTGCTCTGATTTTACCTTCAGGGTTCCGCTCCGTTTGTGTAGAAGCAGTTTCTTGTTGGTCGTATCTGAGACGTTGTTTTCCTTCTGCTCGAGTGTTTGTTCTTTACTTTAAGTCTTTTCTCTGCTGTCTCAGACTCGGACGCCTCGTGTGACACGACTCAGCCCAACGCAGCCGGCGCTTGCCGACCAGGCCAGCAGGGTTTCCTTTGCATCAGCTGAAAACCTGGAGACCATGTCAGAGCCAGACATTCCCATCGGCTTCAACCGGATGAACCGGCTCCGCCAGAGTCTCCCACTGGCCCGCTCGTCCAGCCAAGCCAAGCTTCGCGCTCCAGGTCTGATAAATCTACCACATCATCCTCTGCCTGGCTTTCAGTTTTCATTCAGTCAGATTTTTAGAGACCAGAGAAATGTTTGGAATGAAATGCTAAAATATTCCATCAGGAATGTGGAATACGGAATGGGTTCGGTCACTTTTCGATTTTTCTGTTTTACCTTGGCCCCCTAAATGCCTTGAAACGGCCCTGGGTGTGTGACTGACTTTTGATGGGTGATCTGAGGTGAAATCACCGCAGCACATGTGATGAGCGGAGCACGTCAGGCACAAATAAAAGACAGAGTAGCAGAGGATGTAAATGGATATGAACAATCGTGTGTTAATAATAATGTTTTGTTGCACCACCTTGAGAATGTACCGTGCAACGGACGCAGCGAGCGCATCAACAATCAGCGCTCTGCGTCCTCTTCGCTCAAAAGGATCCCCGCTACACTGAGAGCCCATAGATATTGGAAACTGGATCTTCTTTCGGGCTCTCCCTGAAAGAAATCTAGTCCTCCATAATTTGATCCCTGCTCTTGGATTAAAAAAAATGGACATTTTGCTAAATGTAGGACACTCCCCAGATGCCCCTGACAGAGACTGAAAAGTGGACATATAATCCCCTAATTTAATGGCCATCGGTTGATTGGTTTAGTTGTTGAACTCAGTTCGAACGATCACACACACACACGCATACAGCAGGCTGTACTCACTGAGGTCATGCTTCTTCAGCGCAGCAGGGACATTTTCAGATGCAGAGACAGCGCACGGAACCGAACCGAACTGGAACCACTCAGAATCCCACTGCAACAAATGCTTTCAACATTAAATCCAAGGAAGTTCTAAATTGCACACGGCCACTTCTGCCTTTGATTTTCTTGTTCTGTAATTAGAACATTGGTGCTAAACTAAGGGCTTGTTAGCTAAAAAGTTATTGAGTTGCCAGATCCGAGCAGACCGGCACCTGAGCGTGTTCTTTCAAATGAAGCTCTGGCTAACGAGAGTTATCCTTATTTGAATGTGGGGCAATGACCAGCTGTGCCTCCATGCTGAGAGCCTGTTCCCGACTTCACAGACGACCACGTAAGCAGCGTTACTTACAAAGCTAACAGCCAGGCTGCCAGGCAGCAGAGTGTACGGGACATCACCATGGCAACGTACCATGGCAACGCTTCCGGCTTCAGAGACAACCACGTTTATTTTAATTATATAGATGTGTATATTCCATGGTGATATGGGTCAGTATATACCTAAATTATTGCAAGCAAGCACTCAAGTAATACCTTGAAAATAGATTTTTATAAGTTTCTATGTGTAAATGACAATAATACATTTAGAGACGCTGTTTTAAAGGGAAAATTTGCAACTTTTTCATCTTTTTAAATCATTTTCTTGAGCCAGTATGTGCTAAAATGATCCTTTACAGGGTTAATGAAATGCCACCCAGCCCCTATTGCCCCCTGTGGCCAGATATTCCACTTGCAATTTCAAACTTCAGTCTGCTCTGTTGGGAGTTTGAGCTGACATACCTGGTGCTGCAGTCTGCTTCCAGTACGTTTCCTGCATGTTTTAGATCATGAACACAACTGGTTTCTTTAATAAAGTGATGAATCACTCCTGTAGACAATAAAGGAGGGCTAAAGACATTTCAGCAGTTAGATTAAGGGGTCAAAAGATGAACGCACAGTAAGAAGAGATTTTGCTTTCGGTTCTACAAACGGACACTAGGGGGTGCTAAGACAAGCCAAAACTGCCTAGTTCCCCTTTAATAAAGATGATCATCCAGACAGAAGCATTATTCCCACTCACAAATGATACCAACTCCCTTTGAAAGACCTTTTTTTCTTTGGTTGTTTGTTATTTTCTCTTTTCAAAACATCCAGAATAAAACACAAGTTCAGACACAACCATAGCTTCAGACAGGACAAAATTATTTTTATTTTTGAGTCATAAACATTTGTCGTTCCAAAGTCTGCACAAAGGTTTTTTGTTTCCTAAAACACAACAATTTATTTTCTAACATTGTTTTCCCCAAAATAAAACAAAATGGGAGAACACATGACGTAAAATAAACAAAAAAGGTGCAACGCAGAGACAGCACACAGGATTGCTTAATGAGGGATGCAGATGCAGCTATAAGGAGGAACTTCACCATTTTCACAATCCTACTTTAAGATTTTACGTTTTGTGTGGTTCAGAACCTGATCTGCTTTTTGCTCTAGGTTCCACATACAGGAGACCAGATTTGTTACATCCATGGTCAGCCTTGCAAGTCGTTAAACTCAACATCAATAATAAATAAAACATTCAACACCAGTCCATTGCTGCAGGGAGAAAAAGATAAACATGATACCGTAAATCCTCTAATACAGGCCAGTATTAGAGGATTTACGGTAATTCAGTTTTCAGCAGCAGCATTGATGCTTCTAATTAAAAGCCAATTAATCAGAACACATTAAAGCTTGGTAGACGGGCATCGCTGGTGTTTAAACAAAAGTTATCTAAGAACAAATAAATATTATTTGAGTTGGATATTATTGATATTTGGATGCTGCTGATAACTTTATGACTTGGTGAAAATAAACCAAAACTGATCAGTGCTTCATGCGAAACAAAAGTTCCTTCATTAAGAGTTCTCCCAGATGGTGCAGCATCGTGCTGTTTGTTCTCCCCCTCATGGGGTTTTTGGTGGAGGTCAGGTCAAATGCCTCATGTTTGTCTGAAAGGACATAAATAACCCAGAAATCAGACCTACGATGATATGGTATTTATAGGTGACCATAAAGTAGACGTGACTGAAGCCTTAACAGCAACATATAACCTCATTTCCTGTTCACGACTGCAGGAATCTTGTTCCTTCAACTCGGAGAGGAGATCCGCAGGGTTCACCTGACCCACGAGCTCACCAGCCTGGAAACCCTGAGGGCGCTCATCGTGCACATGTTCCCCCAGAGACTCACCATGGCCATGCTCAGGTAGACATGTCTGTTTAGAAAACAACTAAAGGTGGCTTCCAAATATGTTAAAGTTAAAGTTAAAGTCCCATTAGTTGTCACACACACTGATGTGTGTGCGAAATTTGTTCTCCGCATTTGACCCATCCCCTGGGGGAGCGGTGAGCTGCAGACACAGCCGCGCTCGGGAACCATTTGGTGGTTTAACCCCCCAATCCAACCCCTTAATGCTGAGTGTCAAGCAGGGAGGCATTGGGTCCAATTTTTTCAAAGTCTTTGGTATGACCCGACCAGGAATCGAACCGTGATCTCCCAGTCTCAGGGCGGACACTCTACCACTAGACCACTGAGCTGAGGGATGTTATCGCTCAGGGACAGATGTGTAAGAGGTGGGACGATAACATCTGCCTCTAGATGTAAAGACCGAGACAGCAGCTTGTTAGGACAGAGACAATAACAGGAATAGAGGTAAACGGCTGGTTTAATGAGACAGGATCATTTCGGAGTTGGTGGATTACAAGTCATGAAGCTAACTAAAACCCACCTCTGTGACCTTTGTGTAATGACTTTAATGAGAAACTGAAGTCTCAGCTGGTTTCAGCAGCCAGAAGCGTCTAAAAAAGCTCGATTATTTTAAACAATGTTCTCATTTTCCAAACAGCTGGGGCAGAAGATAATTACTGTTTCACTAAGATGCTCATTTAGATTATCTGTATCATCTGAAGATTATTTATCAGCAGGCTCCACACATTCTGAGTATTACACTCTGATGAGTTTAATATCAGCTCGGTCCACTTGATTGTCTCATTACCAACGCCTGATTCGGTTTAGAAGCTTCCAGCCTGTTAGAAGGAAATTGGAGCTGCAGTTGTGTATTCATGGTCTGTTCCTGGTTTGTTTGTGTTTGATAATTATTGATTAGATCTCCCAGCACCGCTCTGCTGATCAAGGATGAGATCCGGAACATCTTCTATGAGCTGGAGGACCCACGGGACGTTCAGGACCGCTGCGTGATTAAGATTTATTGCAAAGAGCCGGTTTATGGGACCTATCCAGGACACCACAACCCCCACCTCGCCAACGGAGACATGAGGGTGAGTGGCAGCATGTTTCTTCTGGACCTCAGAAAGTTTACTGTATTCACTAAAGACATGGTTGATTAGAGGTGAGATTACAGCCCGTCTCAGTAGTGTTTCATTCCCTTCGTGCTTCCGTTTGACTCCAGCTGGTGGCAGGAAGTAACTTTTTAAACCACCTCAGGAGAGTAAAGGCAGGGTTTTCCTTCTGAATCACCATGACATCATCACGCGTGTGTTTACAAACGCCGCCAGGCGTTACGAGTCAGAGCTGAAGTTACTCTCATCGGCTGAGTCATGTGACCTTTTTTCTGGACCAGCGCCAGTCTGCCACATCTTCAGCCCCGACTAGGCTGGACGCCAGTAAACTGTTCTGAAATAACGGCCTGGAGGTCCAGTTTCTCTCACTCTATACACAATTTAGATTGTTGTAGGAGATAAATGACTTCACACACAATTTAGTTGAATGAGAAAGCATTTCGAGATCCTCGGGCTGAACCACACGAGTCAGAACCTATCCAGAACCATCCCAAAAAGTCAGAATGTTTAAAGTCTTGTTCAAAGTTCATTTTAGGAAAACACAAAATGGTAGAAAATTATGTAACTCTGTTGGGAAAGAAGAACAATCTAGGCACTAACAGCCAGCGCATTCCCTGTTGGATATGGACCTTGTGGGAATGCCAGATCTTGAGGGACCCTGGCAGCTCCGGTCCTGATAATAGCATCACAGCGTGACAAGCCTCAATTAAGCAAAATAGTCTAGAACCTTGAAGATGTGGCTCACAGAAAACTCATTTTTTAATGATTAATTCTGATCATAATCGGTCACTCTGAGTTTTTCATGCAGGCTGAACATGAAAATAGTCTCCTACACCTATCTCCTGCATTAGTTTCTGATAGACGGTGAAACCATGGACGTAATTTTCACTTTAGAAGTGGGGGGGACACACGGGGGGGGGGGGGGGGGGGGGCAGTATGTTCTAATGGGAAACAGACTTCAACACAAATGGTTGTTTTCTGCTTGGTCCTAGAGCTCAACCAGTGCCAATTTTAATATAAAGCAATGGTGAAAAGTGCAGGGGTCAAAACTTGACTTTGGAAAAAGTGGGGGGGGGGGGGGGGGGGGGCATGTCTCTCCCCCCCCCCAAAAAAAAAATTTTACGTCCATGGGTGAAACTCTAGGATTTGAAAAACATGACATATCTAATAATGATGAACTCACCATCTTTACTCACAACAAGGAAGGCTGTTGTATTTTCGTCTTCGTCTTCGTCTTCCTCCGCTTATCCGGGTCCGGGTCGCGGGGGCAACATCCCAATTAGGGAGCTCCAGGCTGTCCTCTCCCCGGCCTTGTCCACCAGCTCCTCCGGCAGGACCCCAAGGCGTTCCCGGACCAGATTGGAGATGTAACCTCTCCAACGTGTCCTGGGTCGACCCGGGGGCCTTCTGCCGGCAGGACATGCCCGAAACACCTCCCCGGGGAGGCGTCCAGGAGGCATCCTGACCAGATGCCCAAACCACCTCAACTGGCTCCTTTCGATCCGGAGGAGCAGCGGTTCTACTCCGAGTCCCTCCCGAATGTCTGAGCTCCTCACCCTATCTCTAAGGCTGAGCCCGGCCACCCTACGGAGGAAACTCATTTCGGCCGCTTGTATCCGCGATCTCGTTCTTTCGGTCATTACCCAAAGCTCATGACCATAGGTGAGGATTGGGACGTAGATCGACTGGTAAATCGAGAGCCTGGCTTTCTGGCTCAGCTCCCTTTTCCCCACGACAGATCGGCTCAGCGTCCGCATCACTGCAGACGCCGAACCAATCCGCCTGTCGATCTCCCGATCCCTCCTAACCTCACTCGTGAACAAGACCCCGAGATACTTAAACTCCTCCACTTGAGGTAGGACCTCTCCCCCGACCCGGAGGTGGCAAGCCACCCTTTTCCGGTCGAGAACCATGGTCTCAGATTTGGAGGTGCTGATCCTCATCCCACCCGCTTCACATTCGGCCGCGAACCTACCCAGCAAGAGCTGAAGGTCAGAGCTGGATGAAGCTAGGAGGACCACATCATCCGCAAACAGCAGAGACGAGATTCTCCTGCCACCAAACTCGACACACTCCACACCACGGCTGCGTCTAGAAATTCTGTCCATAAAAGTGATGAACAGAACCGGTGACAAAGGGCAGCCCTGGCGGAGTCCAACCCTCACTGGGAACAGGTCCGACTTACTACCGGCTATGCGGACCAAACTCACGCTCCTCTGGTAAAGGGACTGAATGGCCCTTAACAGAAAGCCACCCACCCCATACTCCTGGAGCGTCCCCCACAGGGTGCCCCTGGGGACACGGTCATAAGCCTTCTCCAAATCCACAAAGCACATGTGGATTGGTTGGGCAAACTCCCATGCCCCCTCCATCACCCTTGCAAGGGTATAGAGCTGGTCCACAGTTCCACGGCCAGGACGAAAACCACATTGCTCCTCCTCTATCTGAGATTCAACTATCGATCGGACCCTCCTCTCCAGTACCTTGGCGTAGACCTTTCCAGGGAGGCTAAGGAGTGTGATCCCCCTATAGTTGGAACACACCCTCAGGTCACCCTTCTTAAAGATGGGGACCACCACCCCGGTCTGCCACTCCCTAGGAACTGCCCCCGATGACCACGCAATGTTGTAGAGACGTGTCAACCATGACAGCCCTACAACATCCATAGCCTTGAGATACCCAGGACGAACCTCATCCGCCCCCGGGGCTCCGCCACTGTGTAGTTGTTTGACTACCTCAGCAACTTCTGCCCCCGAGATCGGACAGTCCATCCCCAGGCCTCCCAGCTCTGGTTCCTCCTCGGAATGCGCATTGGTGGGATTGAGGAGCTCCTCAAAGTATTCCTTCCACCGTCCGACTATAGCCTCAGTTGACGTCAGCAGCTCCCCATCCCCACTGTAAACAGTGTGAGCGAGTTGCTGCCTTCCTCTCCTGAGGCGCCGGACAGTTTGCCAGAACCTCTTTGGAGCCGATCGATAGTCTTTCTCCATGGCCTCACCAAACTCCTCCCACGCCCGAGATTTTGCCTCTGCAACTGCCACTGCTGCACCCCGCTTGGCTATCCGGTACCTGTCTGCTGCCTCCGGAGACCCACAGACCAGCCACGCCCTGTAGGCCTCCTTCTTCAGCCTGACGGCTCCCCGAACCTCTGGTGTCCACCAGCGGGTACGGGGGTTGCCACCACGACTGGCACCGGCCACCTTACGACCACAGCTAGCAACAGCCGCCTCGACAATCGCAGAGTGGAACAAGGCCCACTCGGACTCAATGTCCCCCACTGCTCTCGGGACGTGGTCAAAGCTCTGCCGGAGGTGGGAGTTGAAGACCGTCTTGACAGGTTCTTCTGCCAGGCGTTCCCAGCAGACCCTCACTATGCGTTTGGGTCTGCCAGGTCTACGCGGCATGTTCCCTTGCCATCTGATCCAACTCACCACCAGGTGGTGATCAGTTGACAGCTCCGCCCCTCTCTTCACTCGGGTGTCCAAAACATACGGCCGCAGGTCAGATGATACGACTACAAAATCTATCATCGACCTGTGACCTAGGCTGCCCTGGTACCAAGTGTACCAGTGGGCATCCTTATGTTCGAACATGGTGTTCGTTATGGCCAAACTGCGGCTTGCACAGAAGTCCAATAACAAAACACCGCTCGAGTTCAGATTAGGTGGGCCGTTCCTCCCAATCCCACCCCTCCAGGTCAAGCTGTCATTGCCCACGTGAGCATTGAAGTCCCCCAGCAGGACAATGGAGTCCCCTGATGGAGCTCTATCTAGCACTCATCCCAGGGACTCCAAAAAGGGTGGGTACTCTGAACTGATATTTGGCCCATAAGCACAAACAACAGTCAGGACCCGTTCCCCGACCCGAAGGCGCAAGGAAGCTACCCTCTTGTCCCCCGGGGTAAACCCCAACACACAGGCAGAGAGTCTCTGGGCTAACAAAAAGCCAACCCCAGCCCTCCGCCTCTCACCCAGAGCAACTCCAGCAAAGTAGAGTGTCCAACCCCTCTCCAGGTCTCGGGTTCCAGAGCCAATGCAATGTGTCGAGGTGAGTCCGACTATATCTAGCCGGTACCGCTCAACCTCTGCCACAAGCTCCGGCTCCTTCCCCGCCAGCGAGGTGACGTTCCATGTCCCAAAAACTAGTTTTCTTGTCCGGGGATTGGACCGCCAAGGCTCCCGCCTTGGTCTGCCACCCGATTCGCATTGCACCGGACCCTTCATGTTCCTCCTGCGGGTGGTGGGTCCACAGTTGGACGAGCCCATGTATCCGGTTCGGGCTGGGCCCGGCCGGGCCCCATGTGCGAAAGCCCGGCCACCAGGCGCTCGCTCACGGGCCCCAACCCCAGGCCTGGCTCCAGGGTGGGACCCCGGTAACCCTCCGGGCCGGGTACTCCGACTCTTCGTTTTAACCGCCATGAAAGATCCTTCGAACCGTCCTTTGTCTCACCCTTCACCTAAGACCAATTTGTCATGGGAGACCCTACCAGGGGCACTAAGTGCCCCAGACAACATAGCTCCTAGGATCATTAGGGCACTCAAACTCCTCCACCACGATAAGGTGACGGTTCAAGGAGGAGTACGGTTCAAGGAGGAGTATTGTTGTATTTTAACATTCAAAAAACAGCAACAAACTTCCTGACTAGTTTAAGCTAACCATTATCATTAGCAACTTCACCACGTAGCAGAAGTCTCTTCAGGCTTGTGTTATTTGTGGAGATAAAACATCAACGTTGCAAGTCAGCGGTAGAGTTACAGTGTTGTAATCCAATCTGAGGAGAGGTGTCCAAATATCAGGGATGTCTTCTGAAGCTCAGCTATGAGAAGCTCTGACATGAGAGGCTAGAGCCACTGCAACCCCAGCAGCAGCTCTCTTGAATGTGAGAGGCGGTTCTGTCCGCGTTTATGACATCACAAACAGGGACTTTTTGAAACGGCTTGTTTTAGGTAGATAATTCTTAAAACCAAACACTGACAGAAAATTGATGGACCAATTTCTTTCACATTTGTAGTGTTTATAGAGGCAGTAGAGACCCACATGGCAGCACAAACAAATGCAAATGTTGCATTTTGCATATGTCCCTAACCCTTTACAGCTTGATGTTTCTATTTGATTTGTTAGGTAGGAACTTTCTCACTGCATGATCAGCACACACCCTCTCAAAAATGATGAATACCATCAGAACAACCACCTCTGCTGAATATGCAGGTGAAACACCACTAATACCTGTAGTTCATGCCAGACAACTATCAGCTGTCAAGTGTGAGTGCTTTACAGGGGACGTGAATCAAATCCTGAGGTTTTGGTTAAAATGTGTTGAAAAATAGATGCTGAGGCTCCAGAGGTTTCATCTGTTGGAACGAACTCCTGATTTACTGAGAGGTCCGGATCACTTTGTTTTTAGAGGAGACATGTTATGGTCTCATTTCTGTCTCATATTCATTTTCTGTTTCATACAGTCCTACAGTCCTGATTTATAATCTAATAATCTAGAAATGCTCCGATTCAATTACGTGATCAAAAATTGGGCCTGATTATGTGATTTTGAAAGGATCGGGAGAAATAAATCGATTTCACCTTTTAAGACAACAAACATGACTTTTTAAATAGAGATTTTCAAATAGAATAACAACGGATTAGTTTTAATTTCAATAAGTTCCCTAAATCAATATTCTTTGTTTCTTGTATGAAAACATCAAAGTAATGTCACAGAATTTATGGTGCAGTTTTTGACTAGCCTAGCAAGCTAACGCAGAGCTAACATTTTTCCTCAGTAGAGCTAAAATGTCTTCAGCTTGATGGTGTTTTAAACCGGACAAAGAAGGCAGACCTGCTACAGCTGCTTGTAAAGTGTGCATACCGGGCTTTCAGCATGCTGGATAGGACACAGCTGCCTTCAAACAAAGCACTTTCACCTCCGACTTTTCCCTTTGGGGGTCAACAAAGCAAATCTTTGGTCTCCATTAACTCCCAGTTTGCCACTACCAGTCCCAGTTCACAGTGAAATCAGACAAAAATGCAGAGCCAGAGACGACAGAGTAAGTTACGCTAATAAACAATGAGAAATTGCCAACAGATTGCAAAACATCTGGGTTTCTAGTTCTCCTGCAGCACCGGAGCTGTGTGCTGGAGCTACAGGTGTTATGCAAGGAAAAGTTACACTGCCTGCCGAGACTCCGCCAACTGCTCCATCACGGGAACATGCATTGCTCAGTACAGCTGCATATTGAGGGAGTAAACAACTTGACATAACAGTAACGCTGCTCCTTTTAAATATATTCATTTATACGTGCTTTTTGGCCGCTTATCCGAAGTACGGTCATGGGGACAGTAGCCTAAGCAGAGAGGCCCAGACTTCCTTCTCCTCAGCCACTTGGGTCAGCTTCTCCAGGGGCGTTCCCTGGCCATCTGAGAGACATAGTCCCTCCACCGTGTCGTGGTTCTACCTTTAGGTCTCCTCCCGGTTGGACGTGCCTGGAAAACCTCACCAGTGAGGCGTCCAGGAGGCATCCTGACCAGATGCCTGAGCCACCTCAACTGGTTCCTCTTGACGTGGAGGAGCAGCGGGTCTACTCCGAGTCCCTCCCGGATGACCGAGCTTCTCAACCTTCATAATAAAAACATGTTTCGTTATCAGCGTAGCTCCTAAATGAGTGACAGTAAAATTTAAAGGGCGACTTGGATGTGTTTTCTTCTTATTTTACTGCGTCCCTGAAAAGTATCGGATCGGGACTCGGTATCAGCAGATACTCAAAATCAAATGACTCGGAATCAGATCGAGAGCAAAAAAATGTGATCGGAACACCCCTATAATAATAAAAACTGTGAGAATAATTTTAGTAACACGTAAAGAAAATACTTTTAGGTGACTGCTTTTTCACAATTGAGCTTTGAACAAAACCTGAGATTTAAACTTGAATAGTGGGTTTTAGGCTTTTATTGCTGCAGCGCTCTGCACTGACTGAAGCGAGTTAAAGGTGTTGCTGTTCCAGGTTAAACTAGAGAAAAAGTGACTCAGATGCTGATTGTGTCCATTCTACCTACCTGGAGGTGTGATTGTGCTTTTGCCTGCCTTTGTGAGTGATCTGCTGCTGCCTGCTGCCATCTCAGAGGTCAGCTGGCACAACTAGATCAACTCAGCTCCCATCTGGATATCTACAAGTGATTTACAGCTTCAGTTGAACTGGGGGGATTAAGTTCAGTTGTGTGTGGTGTGTGCACATGCCTGCATGTGAAATCCTGCTAGCACAGCCCAGATTATTCCCTGAAAGACCACAGACGCCTGACTGGACCTCTGGGTCCGATTTGAAAGAAGTCCTCGGCGGGAGAGCAACCGGCTTTAAAGGGGCATTATGGAAGTGTGACAGCCAAAACATGTATAGAAATAATAAATTTCTTCTTCATACATTCTCCTGCAATGCCCTGGTCCTGTAGAATGAGCCCTGGCATTTTTACTGTGATTGCCTGTTTTTCTGTAAAATCACAGAAAAAGAGAGCTGCTCGGGTCGAGCAGGCTGCTTCATGCGCGTTCACGCTCAGGCATCGCCCGTAGCATTTGCTATCCGTAGCTTTAGCAGCAGAGATAGAGGCAGTGCCACTTTATCGCTGTTCCTGACGCCTAGTGACAAAGCTAGCTACATTTCTGAGGACCCTTAGCTACTTTCCGCAGAACTTTCTTCTAGATATTTCCTGCAAATTAACAACAAAATAGCCATTTTCGCTCCGAACCGTTCTTTGAACGTTGTTTCAGGTGTCATCAAGGATATAAAAGTTACAGATAAAAAGGATGTTAATGGTGCTTTAGCTCACCTAGTATGATGTCGGACTCTTGTGCAGAAGACCTGGGTTCGATTCTGGATGTGAACATAGTTTATTTAGAGTTTATTTTTTACATTAATGGTATAGTTTTTTACAGTAAGATTCCCAAATTTTTATTTGAGACTCGCCGAACGGCATTGAATTCACAGAAAAAAAAAGATGTGGGTTCAACTTTCATTATGGAACAATTTTTCAAGCAAGGGAAGGGAATGATCTGAGCATGCAGGAGGACTGACCCATCATAAACCTTTGTCGGCTGTGCTGAAGAGAAAGGTACAGAACCAAATTATTTAATTAATTAGCTGTACGTTCTCCTGTCCTCCGGGCCCCACACACACACACACACACACACACACACACACACACACACACACACACACGGGACTGTCTCAGCTGTTATTTTCTTTAAGGAGTGTGCACGTACAGCATGCGCGCCTCGTGCACAAGCCTACTACTGAAGCTGCAGTTAGGTTTTTGGCCTGAGGGGGCAATCGCGAGCATAAAAATTCAAAACTCTGTAAAGTCCCTTTAAAAGGCAGCGTGGGACCAACTTTAGGGATCACGGCCATCTCTGGACTTCAGGGAAAATAAAAGGTCTGTGTAGTTGAACCATCGATACCAGTCTGTTGCTAGGAGACCAGAAGGAAGACCGCTTTTGAGTCTGCTGAGACCATCCATGGGGTGTAGGTAGAGTCCTCAGGGTTATTATGTAGAAATATTGGCTTTTCAATTTGCTTTGTCTCCAGGAGATTGCTTTGTGCTTCAGGAGCAATTACAGAGTGATTCTCTTTTGTGTTGTATTGCTGCATCTATTACTCCTGTCTGCTCACCTCCTACCATCTAACGCATCACCCCCACCCACAGTTTTGAATGGAAGCTGGATTATTTCTGCATTCAGGTCAATAAGTCATCATGAAGCTTCCCTGTCTGTAATAAAGCACACTCTAGAAAATTAAGTCTTGAATTGATTTAACTGAGTTATGTCAACTTGTTCCAGTAAACGTAGTTGCTTAAATATGAAGTTATAAACATTGTATATGTTGTGTTCAAAGTAAGTACAGTATATACACTAAGATGGTAAAGTCAACATTTTATTTCTTAAGAGTGCAGAAAGTTACAGAATAATCTGATAAACAATTAACCACAAATTATGGTTTAGGTTATTTTGTTTCCTTAAAACAATGGGTTAGTTAGGGTTATGAACAATTACTGGAATTATTGCATGTTGAGGCCAAAGCCAGCTATGTTTATAAATGCTTGTATTAAACAAGAATAAATACAAATTAATTAATAAATCAGTAGAGCAGAAAACAGCAACAGCTTCATTGATAATACTGAAAAGCATCTTTTTAGATAAAAATCCAAACAAAATCATATTTAATCATAATTCATGGATGTAAACTTTATTCATGCAGGGTCATTAATTAAAAGTTAAAATAAAAACAATCCACCACCTATTTTAACAGGTTAAGGCCACTCATAAGACTTATTGTATTTTTTTATCTGGTGGAAAAATGATGTCAGTGAGCTTAAAATGCGTTCCAGAATTCAGTCAAATTAAACTGTTGATTTTTTCGGACTCAACTGGGTTTTAGTCTGATCCCTGTTAGAACCTGGTCTCTGTCTCTCTGTCACAGAGGGAGATGGTGCATGCTCCTCAGGATTCTCCGCCCAACCGCCGCCTCAGCAACCCCCCCATGTCTTCCCAGCATTCCTCTGCCTCAGCTTCACCCCCTCAAGGCTCCCCATCCCGGGCCCGTCTACTCTACAGCGCCGGCAGGCCTTCATCCTATGCGGGGCCGCCCCACCACACTCACTCCCTGCCTCACCCACACTCCCAATCGCACCACTCCTCGCCCCACCAGCAGACTCAGCTCCACCAGCCTCACCACACCCAGCCGGCCTTCTGCACCTCCTCTAGCGCCATCCTAGAGCGCAGGGACGTAAAGCCGGACGATGAGGTGGGGGGGTCCAGGAGCATGGTGCTCCTGCGGAGTGATGGCGGCGGGATCTATGCGGACCCGTACGCCCTTGGCCCAGATCCAAGTCGGCTGAGTCTGGCTGGAGGTCCTCACTCTCCTCTGCCAGCCAGAGCTGACCCCTATGCCTCGCTGTACCGCCGTGGTGGGGGAGCAGGGCCTGGGTCAGTCCGAACGCTCACCTCCTACTCTGCAGCTGCTTTACAAGGAGAGCTGATGGAGAGCGGCGTTCTGTACAGGCCTGGAGGTCCGCTTTACAATGACGCCTACACTGCCTCCATGTTGGCCATGGGGCTGACGGTCCCGCCCTCCTCCCCCCAGAAGATTCCCGACATGAGGGACTCCTATGGAGGAACACTGCCCAACAGGGGCTCCCCTGGGAGGCAGAGTCTGAGGAGGGACTCTGTGACGTCCTCTGTGTTAGGAGACAGTCCCAAAGCTCGGGTCCAGGGACCTGGACTTGGTCTCACTGCGGAGCAGCTCTGCCTGATAGGAGATGGAGGAGGAGCCAGGCCTTTTGGTTCTCCTCTGCTTGGAAATGAGACAGAAACCAGGTGAGTTTTATGCTGAGCTTTGACAGAAACTAAAACACAGTTATGATTCACGTAACTTAATAGAGAGGAAAACTGTTTTTGTTTATTTCTGGTCTTGAAGCACAAACCCTCTGCTTTATCAGATATTTTATGTTTAGTCCACTGATTGCAGCTGTTCCAGTTTTAATGACCTTTCAGCACAAAGACGAGTTGGATTTGTGTGGTTTTGGATGAATAGAGCAAAACTAAACAACTTCAGGGAAAACTTCCATTTCCAAGTGGAAATGAACCAAAACAATGTGTAAGTGTTTTAGTTTCACGTCCAAAATCAGCTGAAATCAGCATCTGATGAAACGTAACCTGAAACGATCGTGTCAGGTTTGAGGGTAGTTCGGGCTGAATTTGCCGCTAGTTTCAGTATTCTGTGTGTTTTTGGGTCTGCATCAGGGAGCGAATGGAGGCGATGGAGAAGCAGATTGCCAGCTTGACTGGACTCCTGCAGCGAGTTCTGACCAGAGCACCTGAGGCTGACAGCCCGTAAGGAAACACACACACACACACACACACACACACACACACACACACACACACATGCCATTGCTCTATCAGGCTGATAAACTGAATGTGAGGTTATTGAATGTGAAACTAGTCTTCTACCCCTATTTCCTGCATTAGCTTGGTCAGAAAAAGCCACGTAGATCTGTGTTACACTGAAATTTAACATTAATGAACTCACCCATCTTGGCTCATGACGGGGAAGGCAGTTTTAGCATCCAGAAAACATCTTGGTTAGAAGAAGCTAACTGTTAGTGTTAGCAAGTGTTAGCAACTTCCCAACACGGCAGAACTCATTCAGGAACTGATTATTTGCTCCTCGGTAACCAAGTTGACTCGTGAGCTGGGTTTTAATGCTTTGTTTCTTTCAGGGAGAAGATGGAGTCAGCCAGTGACGGCTCAGCAGCTGACCGTAAGTTCTCAGACGTCCATGTTTCTGCTGCCTGGTGCTGCTTCACGCTGCTGTTTAAACTTCTGCCTTTCAGACCAACTCTTGTTTCTCTGCTCATTTTAAACATGCTCGTGTGATTTTAATGGCTGCTTCTTCACATCGTTCTTGCTGCTGCTCTGTAACTGCTGATCGTGCTTTTTGTTTTAGCTGGACATGTAAAAAAAAACAAAGGTAGCTACAGTTTGTTTATGGAGTATCTGTTTCCCTGTCTGACCCCAGACCCTACACCCTAGACCTTCTGACATCTAGTCCCTGCCTAGACCTACTGACCCCCAGACTCTAGACTCATTCACCCCAGTCCCCAGACCCTTGTCCATCTGACCCCTCAGACCTTGAACCTCAAAACCCTTGACCAGTGGTGCCTGGTCCTGCAGGGCCACCTTTCTTCTTTGAGAGGTGTCTCTGCTCCAACACACCTGATTTTAATCAGTGGTGATTACCAAGCATCTGCAGAGGACCTGATGATGAGCTGCAATCACAATCGGGTGTGTTGAAGGAGAAAAACAGCTGGATTGGGGATCTTGAGGACCATTCGACTCCCTGCCCTTGACCTTCTGATTCCTAAAACTCTCTGATCCCCAGACAGTGTACTAACAGACATTCCTCTCTAACTCTGCCCCCTGTGTTTCATTGAGTTGCATTGATTGCATTCACAGATGAGAATACTAATACTAGAATATTAGAGACTAGATTTTCTGAAACTGTATTGATTTTGTTTTCTACGGAGTTGAGTAGTAGATTTACCTTTTTCAGATTTATTTAGGCTGGATGTCCTGTTGCGTCACTGTTGTTAGATCAACTTTCAGTTCTAACACTTAACAAAGGGTACGCTAGGATCAGGCGGTGCATTTAATATAAACTGTAGCTGAATTAGGCCTAGTCCACACGTAGCCGGGTTTTTTTTTAAACGAATATCCGCCCCTCCAAAAACTTGCATCCACACCACCTCGTTTAAAAAAAAAACTGTCCACACGTACCCGGATAAATACGTTGTTAAGGACATGCCAGACCTGTAGGTGGCAGTACTTCCCCCGTTCTTAACCTCGTCCTTCGTCTGTGGTCTTCCGCAAGGAGCAGTAATTCCGCTTGCAAAAACAAACAAGCAAACAGCGCTTGGACAATTGATAAAGTGAGCGCAGCTCTGAGGGCATCCATGCTGTCGGCTAGTGTAAACACAGGTCGCACACGTGATGTCAGCATTTTTTTGTCGCGGAAAGTGACGTTGCGGACCTTAAAACTCCGGTTTTGTCTGTCCACACGCAGACACCCAAAACAGAGAAAACGCAGATCTTCACTTTGGCCAGAGTTTTTAAAAAGATCCGTTTTCGTGTCAAAAAACTCCGTTTTCGTGTGGATGACAGGCCAAAACGTAGAAAAATATCTACGTTTTGGCAGATCCCCGGCTACGTGTGGACAGGGCCTTGGTGTTTTACAAAATTATTTGGGAGTTTTGCTGCATTTGTGTTTAGTGTCAGATGGATTTTTCTTTTTGTGAAAATTAAATAAGATAAAGGTTTTACCATACACTTTAGTGTTGAATCAGTGTTCAGACGTCTCAGGTGTTGGTAGTCAGACTTCTCAGTTCACCAGCTTTGTGAAACTAGTTCAAACCACCAGATTCCCGCTCTTTATTGGAATTCTGAGACTTCAAACTGCAGCAATTCTGCCCTTCAACCCTCAAAGATCTAAACTGTTGCTTCACCCGCAGCATTCTAAATGTTAGCTCAGTTTAGTGGCTTTTAATAACCAGTCTTTCTTGTTTTTTGTAGTTTTAGTTGATAAAACTTTTAAATGCAACTCGGTTACTGATTGTGTTTGAGTGTGTTCTGCATGATTCTTGTGACTCTTCATCCTAATTCCTATTGGAGCTCATCATCATCATCATCATCATCTACTCAAGATCATCTGATTTGGACGCACTCACATGTTGGGAATCTTTTCTGATCAGATCTCCTTGTTTCTTCATGATTGACTCTTTCATCCCTGACGTTGTCTCACGATGTCTATCGTTATGTCTGCTGTAACCATGGACGTAATTTTCACTTTAGAAGTGGGGGGGACATGGGGGGGGGGGGGTATCTTTACAGTATGTTCTAATGGGAAACAGGCTTCAACACAAACGGTTGTTTTCCGCTTGGTCCTAGAGCTCAACCAGTGTCAATTTAATATAGCGTAATATTGTTTTTGGATGGTAAAAAGTGCGGGGTTCAAAACTTGACTTTGGAAAAAGTGGGGGGGATATGTCCCCCCTGTCCCCCCCCCCCCCCCCCCCCCCCCCCCCAAATTACGTCCATGGCTGTAACACCCCAACCTCCCAACCTTCAGCGCTGGTACAGGTAGTCCTCAGATCAGCTGGTGTTCCACATCCAGTTATTTTGGAGTTTCAGATTAAAACATCTCAGAATTTGAACTGAAATCATTGATGTAGGAACATCTTTTTTGGGACATTTTCTATCAGCTCTGAAGTTTCCTCTAAATCAACCCAAAAGGTTAAGAAATGTCTAATAAACTTTCATTCTTCTTCTTGTTGAGCAGCTCTGACTCCGTCTGCTCCTCTGGCCCTGATGCCTCCTCCATCCTTGGGGTCCAGTCAGCCCATCACTGTGTCTCGGATGCAGATGCAGCTCCACCTGCAGAACCTGCAGCAGAACACCAATGCTCTACGCAAACAGCTGTCGCAGCTGCGGAACATCCAGGTGCGCACTGACCGTTGAGACACTGCCGTAGCTCCACAGTTAAATAATTTCATGTAATCAGGTGACATAATTACCACATTTATGTGAATATGTCCGTAAAGATTGAAGCAATTTATTGTAACATGATTGTTGTCTGTTAGAAAAAAAATGATTAGATTTTTTTTAAATCAGTGAAAATTTCAAGAAGAAAGAAAAAACAAGCTGAAAAAAATAAGAGCTGTAATTTTTAATATCTGTTTTAGGACTGATTATGTCTTTATGTTTGTGTTAAAATCTGCACAGTTTGGTTTTAGGCACAATAAACAAGGACCAATAACTTCATTATCTGATCATCAGCTGTTGAACGATGACAAAAAACCTATATCACAAAACAAGGTTAGAATTTGTTGTTTCATGGCAAGACAACATGTGTTTATGACGCTTCAGGAGTATGGAAGAACATAGTGAGACAGGTCAAAGGTCATTTATGAGTGATTTTAAGTTAAAATGAAATGTGCTGTAATCTGCTCTCAGCTGGAGAACCAGGACTCGGTTCTGTCCCTTCTGCGTCAGACTGAGTCGGAGCTGAGCCTCATGATGCTGGATGCCATGCGGCCTCAGGAGGACCCGCTTCAGAGACAGCGCCTCCTGGTGGAGGAGGAGAGACTGAAGTACCTGAACCAGGAGGAGCTGCTCATCCAACAGCTGCAGTCAGTTCATTTTTATTAATACATGATGAGAAAATCATCTCAGATTAAATATTCTAAAACAACAACGGAAAAGAAGTTCTACCAGTTATTTTATTTAAACGTTAACAGTTTAATCTGATTCTGTTTTGTGGGATTTGTGTTTTGGTGTCTGTGAGAACTTTAGCTGCAGCACTGTCCACGCGGACGTTTACTGTAATTTAGTGTGAAGCGTCTGGTTGATTCCCTTGTCTGCAGGCAATTCTGTTTCCTTTATATGTCTGAATGTCTCTCTGATGAAACCGTTAGCTTGTTACCAGACCCAGAGGGACAGATGTCCTTTCTGTCAAAGCTGAATACCAAGTCAGCATTAAAAAGTCAAAATGTTGTTAATGTTCAATGAAAGCAACATGACAACACTGCTCTTGCTGTTGTTCCTCAGCGACCTGGAGAAGTCTGTGGAGGAACTACAGAGGAACTCGTCCATCAACCACGGCCTGGTGACGGAGCAGGACGTCGACCAGAAGAGCAAAGAGTTGAGGATGCTGGGAGAGACGCTCACTGAGCTGAAAAGTGGGTGCTGCTGGTCATTTGGGAGGTTCTATTTTTGTTCCAGGCTCACCTTCATCTGGGGGTGGAGTGGGGTGCACTAGATTGGTCTGGTAGCTCACCTCCTACGTCTGGGAACTCAGTGGGAAGAAGTTTCTGCTCATAGCAGCTTTTCAGACACGTCTGCTGCAGTTCTAATGTTAGACCACAGGAACAAAATTAGTTTTTGTAACATAAATTACGTATTTACAGGAACTAGTCCCTGTGAGTTCACATGTGGCAGGAAGGTCACATGAGGACTTCATGTAGATTTCAGGGGAACAAGCTGTTCTTTAGTTTGTTGTGCTGAAATCATAAGATGATTTATTCAATATTATAATTTAAAAAATCACAGATGCTGTCCTTTTGATTTCAGAAAATCTTCCAGTTTGAGTACGTCTCATATAAAAGTGTGTTAAACATTCAGATGATTTACTGTTGTTGTGCTTTCAGGTCAGGGTTCAGATACAGGAAGTGTTGCTCATTAAATAATAGTCATGCAAAGCACCTGATGAATATGTATGAGTAAGTATAATTATTCATGAGACGTTGGTCACAGCCTCTGGTCCTGCTGCTTTGACCGGTGTTCATGGTTCTTCTCTGAATGTTAGTGAGTAACTCGAAGCGGTACAAGTGATACTGCGCTGGAATTCATAATTGTTTCCTTCTCAGCAGCAGCACTGCAGGTGCTCTCATGTCCAACATGTGCGTAAGCCAGGTCCTTAGTCAACTTAAAGATTGCGTGCATTTTTCCACAAAGTTTTTTTTTTATATAAATCCCAAAGTTTGCATGGAAAGTTGCTCATCCAGTTTTGTGCATAAGCAATCTTTATAAATGAGAACCCGGCTGATAAAAAAAATCAGGTGTGTGGGAGTAGAGAAACTTCTAAAATACGCAAGATGGTGGCTCTGAAGGACCCGGGTTAGACGCTGAGGTAGTTTATTTCTGTTTTGTTTTCGGACCAAAATGACTATAAAAGCTCACTGTTTACAACCAAACATTTTCTTTGCTGCTCATACAGACAAAAGATCTGATTTACAGTTAGAATCATTCATTCTTATACAAAACAAATGATCGAATAAGTAAACACTTCTGTTGTGGTTATGTTAGTGTTATCAAAGTTAGCTAGATGTTTGTCTCTGAGGTCTTGATCTCCGCTTTAGCTAACTGTTATAGCAGATAAAGTGTTACAAACATCCATCTGGTTGCTGTTTAACAAGTCATTTTAAATCTTATTTGACTCTTTTGATGGTTTATATTTAATACAACAGAAGGTCGCTCAACACACATCCCTGTGGCACCCCATTCCTTATTATCTGATACTGATGGCTAGTGAAATGAACGTGTGCAGATTGTCACCTATGCTGGCCATACTGAGATGGAACCATTTAGATTCTGTTTCATATACTCCCTACTACACCATTTGCTGTCTTTGATCCCCCGCAATGCAGATCAGTTCCCCAGCCTGCAGAGTAAGATGTGGGTGGTGCTGAGGGTGGAGGTGGAGGCCGTTAAATTCCTGAAGGAGGAACCTCATCGGCTTGAAGCTCTGCTGAAACGCTGCAACACCATGACCGATGCTCTGAGCTCACTGCGCAGGTCCACCAACCCCTCACGCATAAAATCGTCTTTGTGGGTTTGAAACCTTTCCTCCAGACTTAGAGACAATCTGCAAAGGGAGAGATTCACGTTTCTTAGATGTAAACCTAACAAACGTATATGTGTGTGATGTTTGGAGTGTTGTAGTACAGGGATGAAGAGTGAATTTCAGATGTTAATTCAGAGAAGCTTCAGAACTGTGGATGGAGTTAATGTGGAGATGTTCTGGTGTGCGTTCAGATCAGACAGCAGGTCAGAAGATTCCCTCTACCCTGACCTCTATGGATCAAACCAAACTTTTCTTACTAATGCAACAATAAATTATAAAAAGTTTCTTCATCAGACCAGAAGTAAAGAAACTCAACCGTCAACCAGAGGATACACCTGTATGTGCCTGGTGGTTTTAGTTTTCTGTCCCCTAGTTTAGAAACAGTCCCTGACTGTGATTCTGATGTTTCAGAGGATTTGATCAAAACCAGACCCAGACTGTAGTTTGATCTGTGACTCTGGTTTTCTCTAGACAAGTCACTGACGGGGTCTGGAAGACTCCTGAGGAAATTTCCAGCCAAATCCAGAAGAGACCAGAGGACCTCGGCCGTAGCTCGGACCTGGACATCCTAAACAGTCCTCCTCTCAGCCTCGCTGACCTCAGCACCAGCGCCGGCCTTGCCAATTGGATCCCTGTGTCCTCTGAAGTCAACACCTCGGGCTCTGAGCAGGATGTCCAGTCCTCCATGGCCTTCAGGAGCCGGGTCCTGGATGAGCTGCCGAGTCGTCGTCCTGCAGAAAAAGCTGTGTCAGCTGAAGTTAGGCTGGTAATCATCGCTCTTCACCTTCTTGCAGGAAACAATCATATTTGCAGCTTATTGTTCGGCACTGTCTGAACGGGTCGGATGGCAAATGTCCGTCTGAGATTCTGTCTGAGCTCTTGGATATGTCGGAGTGAAGCTCGCCTCTCACCTGTAGAAAGTTGATTATTTCCTGTGTTCATGGTGTGTTTTTTTGTCAGGCGGCTGAACGGGACTGGGAGGAGAAACGGGCCAGTCTGACTCAATTCAGTGCCCAGGACATCAATCGTTTACTGGAGGAGACCCAGGCCGAGCTGATGAAGGCCATACCGGACCTGGACTTTGCTGCCAAGCATATAAACAAGCCGGCTGTGCCCCCTAAGCCCCAGATCACCATCCCTATAACCTCCAACACATCTACCCTGTCTGCAGCCGGAACCACCGGGCCCATTGCAACCAGTAACGCCGGCGGGGATCAACAGCCGGGCAAAGTCCAGCTGGCTGCCCAGAAGCTGAACAGCATGGAGGGGTCTGGTTCCCATCGGGGGTCAGGTCAGTTCTCTGGATCTTAGTGCCCCAAGCGCAGATTGACTTGTTTGTTTCTTGTTAGCATTTAAACGTTCTGTTTACAGTGGATCTGAGCGTAGCCCGATACAAAACAGAAAAACCCTCCAAGTCTCCTCCTCCACCCCCTCCTCGCAGAAGCTTCCCATCAGCACACGGACTCACCACGAACCGGACTGGAGACGTGATCATCACCACCAAGAACCAGAAGGTGAGCCTCTCTGAGGTCTCTATAAGACAGGAAACTGGACCGATGGAGACACTCTCTAATCAGACGTCGCCTTCAGAGTAGAAGTTCAGATTTATTCAGAACATTTTCAGAGCACAGTTTTAAAAATGGAGGTAAAATTATGAAACTGTGTTGGGTTCTGAATGTTTGTACCCTCACCACGGGTTTTCTCCTCCGGTTCCAAAACCTATTGATCACATTCAGCAGGAGACTCTCAGAATCATCTAGAAACATGACCAAAACACGATCGGGCTCCAGACCGAAAGAAACAGATCCTGGAATCAAGCAGCAGATATGATGTCCTTCTGAGGGGTGGCTGGGATCATCTTTAGAGAAGGTCAGGAGCTACGTTCACCAAAGGGAGCTCTGAGTGGACTACTACTGCTGCTCCTCCTCATCAGAAGGAGTTATGATTGGGGTGCCTTCTGTTCTCCTCCCAGTAGGACCTAGGCCTGACCCAGATGGTAAATGGCCTGTATTTGATATAGCGCCTTCTAGAGTCATGAAACCCCCCAAGGCTCGTTACAACACAATCAGTCATTCACCCATTCACACACACATTCACACACTGGTGGGGATGAGCTACAATGTAGCCACAGCTGCCCTGGGGCGCACTGACAGAGGCGAGGCTGCCGAGCACTGGCGCCACCGGTCCCTCCAACCGCCACCAGCAGGCAACGTGGGTTAAGTGTCTTGCCCAAGGACACAGCAACAGACTGAGCGGGATTCGAACCTGCAACCTTACGATTACGGGGCGAGCACTTAACTCCTGTGCCACCGTCGCCCCCACCATCCCCTACTAACAGATGGAGTTGGAGAGTGTCTCAGAGGAGAGGAGAAAGTGGTCTGGGTCTCTCTCCTGGACCTGATACTTCCTAAACCTAATCTGGGTTTGCAGGGAGGGGCGATGGTGGTGGTGATGATGATGGTGATGGTGATGGTGGTGATGATGATGATGGTGATGGTGATGATGATGATGATGGTGATGATGATGGTGATGGTGATGGTGATGATGATGATGATGATGATGGTGATGATGATGATGATGATGATGATGATGGTGATGATGATGATGATGATGACGGTGATGGTGATGATGATGGTGATGGTGGTGATGATGATGATGATGATGATGATGATGATGATGATGGTGATGATGATGATGATGATGATGATGACAGTGATGGTGATGATGATGATGATGATGGTGATGATGATGATGATGATGATGGTGATGATGATGGTGGTGGTGATGGTGATGATGATGATGATGATGATGGTGATGATGATGATGATGATGATGGTGATGATGATGATGATGATGACGGTGATGGTGATGATGATGGTGATGATGATGATGATGATGATGATGATGGTGATGATGATGATGATGATGATGATGACAGTGATGGTGATGATGATGATGGTGATGGTGATGATGATGATGATGATGATGGTGATGATGATGGTGGTGGTGATGGTGATGATGATGATGATGATGATGATGATGATGGATAAACCTGCTCAAATTGGGTCAGAACTTTACTACAGCTGGCTGACTCGATATTGGTTCAAGTGTAGTTTCAGTCTGAAGACCAGTCTCTCAGGTCTTTAGGTCCCAGAGACAGGTTTATAAAAATTCCAGTTTTAGAACGTTTTTGGGTCAGAACCAAGCCTCTCTGATCCATCTGAATGGCTCCATCCAGAAGACTTCATGCTGTCGGTTAACCATGGAGCTCTGAGCCGTCCTCACACGTTCCTTCAGACCTCCATTCAGTGTTGGGGCTCTACAATGCACTAAGTGCATTAAACATTTTCTCTGTATGATAAGCTTTGAGCAGGAGTAATGTTTCTAGTGAGGAGACAGAATCTGACTTGGTTCTTATTTCAGATGGATGAAGATGGAGAGATGCCTAAAACTCTGGTGAAGCTGAGGCGGACCCCATCTGACACCCCCCGGCCTGCCTCCACCCCACCCGTCATCGCAGCGTCAGCCGTTCAAGATGAAGATGATGAAGAGAAGATCATTGCTGAGCTGGAGGTATGAGTCTGATGATGCTAGGCTGCAGATTTTTGTCTGATTGGTTTGAAGATGTTTGTATAACCATCTTATTCTGTAAACAACAAAGATATTCCAGAGAGCTCCAGTAAAAGATTCTCCAGCTAGTAAATGGTTCCAGTCACAGCACCCCTCAGCTGTGGGCAGAAAGGTAAACCTGAAACTGGCTGTAGCTCCTCTGGATTTCTGACTTTCTTCCTTTTTTACCAACTTTACTCACCTCCTGTTGGCTAAAACGTCCAACTAATCTATGAACAATAACCACTTCTGCTCAGATCTGCTGTTATTCTCCTTGTTTAGGAACTTTTCTGACCTTCATCTGAAATTCTTTGTTTGATCACAAACATTTCAGATTGATTTCTACTGATTTGTTGGTCTGAGTGTCAGACCGAGAAGCAGAACATTTCTGAGAGGAAATGTTTGTTGGTCTGTGTCTCTGAGGAACTTTTTCATCAGGAAATGAATCAGCTTCATGATGAATGAAGTACCCATCAGAACAGATATCTGTCCAAAAGCTCAGTTTGATTTTAATAAATTAAAAAAGTGATAAATGAAATCAAAACTTCTAAATTACCTTTCTTATTTCACCATTTCATAAAACGTGGCAGAATGAGCACGTTTAAAATTGAAAGTGGGCACCGGTACTCGGGAGGAGGCTGAGAAATCCCCCTGCCAAGTGCCGTTGAATGTGCTCACTCCCAAGGTGTGTGTGTGTTTGCGTGGAATGTCGTCGGTGGAAGTGTATAAGGTGCAAATAAAATTGGGGGGCTGGTTGCCACAGGAATGCAGAAATGGGGTCCATACCCTTACTCCCTGACTTGTCCACCCCCCAAGGTCCTATGTGCATGTTTGTGTGATGATGTGAGGGAGCAGGAGGAGAGAAATATGCGGGGATGGGGAGGAATGGCTGATTAGGCTTAGCCCTCCAGGGAGCCAGCTCCCCGACTGGCCCCAATAGGCACCTCTGTTGTCAAATTGCCACCCAGGGCATGGAGACCCCAGCCCATCCTGTCAGGGCCCAAAGCAGCAGCATTACAGAGCCCCACGGAGTCCGAGGGCACCAACCCAGCCCCACCCCAGGAGAATATCTATGCCCACCCCTGCATTTGCACAACTTTCAGAATATATAAGACATAGGACATCCAGGTAAGGTTGGGTCCTCCCCCTCCTGGACCGCCCCCTCCCCTGTGATGGGACAGCAGAGGAGCCAAGGTCTACCCGGGGCTCCTGATCCCGGGCCAGGCACTGCTGCATGTTCCTGCCTTCTTCCCGGCAGCATACATGTCAGGACCCGATCCCCAAGGCCCCGCCCAGATCCCCACACGGGGCCGGCCACCCCCCACACCCCGAGCCCCCAGGCCCCCACCCAGACCCGCCCAGGAACAATGCACCTGCCAGGCAGTGACCCATGGCCGCCGCCAAGACCTCCAAGGGGCCCTATAGACCCTTTTACTACCTACGTCATCAAAAGTTGCGCTCGCAGCCTGGCAACGAGAGTGAAGGCTTCCTCATTCACACTCGATACTAAAACAGCGTTTTAAACCCTTTGTTTTGAAGTTCTGAGCACATAAAAATGTCGGGTTGTTGTGTGTATGGATGCCAGAATCGCTTCTCTTCAAGCAGTGGACTGAAACTTTACAGAATTCCGAAGGGAGCACGTCCATTTCAACAAAATCGGAGGCGTCTGTGGCTGCAGGCCATCAAAAGGTTGATGAAAACCGGGACCACATCAGTCCAGTTCTGGCCTCCCTGCACTGGCTTCCGATTTCCTATCGCTCACAATTCAAAATACTCGTCTTTGTTTATCATTTCTTCCAGGGTGGTGCTCCCCCCTATCTGGCCACTCTCCTGAACAAACACTCCCCATCACGCGCTCTGCGCTCCTCTGACCAAGGCCTGCTCGCTGTCCCTCGGTCTAGGTGTCGTACCCGTGGAGACCGGGCTTTCTCAGTCCTAGCACCGTCACTCTGGAACCAGTTGCCACCCTCAGTTAGGCTGTCCCCTTCTCTGCCAGTCTTTAAGAATCACCTAAAAACACACCTCCTCCGCTTGGCGTTTCCAGAACATGTTTGATTATGGCCCTCTATTATGTTGAATCCATTCCACAGTTTTCATTGGTACACTCAATCCAAATGTGTTTCACACATTTGTATTTTACCGGAATGTTTCATCTATCTCGTTATTTCCATTTTGTATTTTGTAATTTGTATTTTGTAATTTGAATTTCTTTTATTGTTGATTTATTCAGTATAATTACTTACAACTGTACCATGTTCAGCGCTTTGGGCTTCCTGACAGGGTTGCGGAAGGCGCTTTATAAATAAAGCTTTGATTGATTGATTGATTGATTGATTGATTGATTGATTGATTGATTGATTGATTGAAAACTGGCCTGAAAACACGATCCGAAATGCTCGAGTTTGTAGCGCCCATTTTATATCGGGTAAGGTAATTATGTACTAAGATTACACCAGAAAGCTGGTTAACGTGTGTTCTATTAAATAAAGTAAGTTGTGTTTGCTGGTTTGCAAATGAAATTAACATTTCATTCTAATTCATCTGTATTTTCCCACTGCATATTAGTATAAACTGTATTTCTCTAAAATTAACACGATTGTACTCTGAGCACGCTAAAAAAAGAAACCTATGCTATACTCACCCTGCCATGCAGGTACAGTTGGCTGTGAAGACGTAGTTCTCTGGTTTGTTTACTATGACCCAAGCCTCGTACATAGCAGTCTTGTGTCCTTGTCTTTGGCTAGGAAGGACTTCTGCCTTCAAGACGCAAAACTCAGAGTCTATGTGGTGATATTTTACTTTCTGTACGTGGCCACAGACAACATAGTTGTATGCATCTAACGATTTGTATGCCCGTAGCTTCTCACGTGTGTACTTACTGGGCCTCTCCACTAAAAACGTATATATATCGGGCCACTGGATATCTGGCCACGCACCTACATCTTCCACCCATTCCGTAATGCCACAGGGATCCGGGAGTCTGTTGTCATTCGTTAAAGTGAGTTTAATAATATAACATTCAAGATTTGCCGGTGATAACCCCGCAGCGTAGCTTTATAAAGCCTGACACAACGCCATTCTCTGTTGCCAAGCTGCGCGCTCATTCTCGCTGACGTCATATTGTTTACAAACAGTAAAAGGGTCTATATGACTTATGACTACAAGTCATAAATGCTGAACGCTCCTGCAGCTGGCTGTTCATTCCCATGTAGGTGAACCATTCACAATAAATAAATGCAACACGTAAGCACAAATATGTGTAATTAAATATAACATCAGTGTGATGGAGACTAATTATGATAAATGCATCTCCTGTTAAAAATGGCTAAATGATGCCTTCAGACTCAGACCCTGTCCACACGTAGCCGGGAATCTGCCAAAACGTAGATATTTTTCTACGTTTTGGCCTGTCATCCACACGAAAACAGAGTTTTTTCACACGAAAATGGATCTTTTTTAAAACTCCGGCCAAAGTGAAGATCTGCGTTTTCTCCGTTTTGGGTGTCTGCGTGTGGACAGACAAAACCGGAGTTTTAAGGTCCGCAACGTCACTTTCCGCGACAAAAAAATGCTGACATCACGTGTGCGACCTGTGTTTACACTAGCCGACAGCATGAATGCCCTCAGAGCTGCGCTCGCTTTATCAATTGTCCAAGCGCTTTTTGCTTGTTTGTTTTTGCAAGAGGAATTACTGCTCCTTGCGGAAGACCACAGACGAAGGACGAGGTTAAGAACGGGGGAAGTACTGCCGCCTACAGGTCTGGCATGTCCTTAACAACGTATTTATCCGGGTACGTGTGGACAGTTTTTTTTTTAAACGAGGTGGTGTGGATGCAAGTTTTTGGAGGGGCGGATATTCGTTTTTTTTTTTTAAACTTGGCCACGTGTGGACTAGGCCTCAGGGAATCCCATCTGGACACCAGAGTGAAGTGTGCTGGGCTGTTCCCAATAACTCGTACAGAGTACTTTATAGCACAAATCAGTGAGTGAGTGAGTGAGTGAGTGAGTGAGTGAGTGAGTGAGTGAGTGAGTCAACATTGTGAACAGTCTTAGTCGTGCAACATCAACAACTTTAAACAAACAACTGATGTAATTGTGCATGTGCTTTCTGCAGAAACTATTTGTCTTTCAGTTAGACCAACAGTTGTAGGAGGAGAAGACCTGAGACTCTTCTTCCAAATACCTGAAAGTTGACTTAGATGCTTCCAAATCCTTCAGAACGGATTTGGACTTTTCATATTAAGTCTGAAAACCTGACATTGACTCTTCCTCCAAAGACCTGAAACTTGACTATGGCCCAATCCCAATACTTGTACTTCCACACTAGGGCCCTTCAATTGCACAATCCTGGCCAGGGGTGCGAGTGTGTTGGGTGCGGAACCCTTGATCTGCACTTCACCCAAGTCTGCATCGATGTGGACTTGGGTGAAGTGCATTACCCACAATCCAATGCTGTGGGAGAAAAGGCTCAAGTGCCTTTTCTGAAAATACGATTATCAAATGAAAGTAGTTAGCTTTAGGATGATTAATTGATGCTCTGTATGTTTTAGACAAAGCAGCAATGAATGTAGAATTATTTCAAGTAATTGTTTGGTTGTTCATTCATTCATTTATTCATTCATTCATTCATTCATTTTTTAATTATTTTATGAAATGGCACAGTCAATTAAACAAGGTAAAAATTAGTTAAAAAATATAAGTCATTTAGTGCAAAGGAATAAACATAAATGGCCATGCAATTCTGCCTGAACAGGAGTGGGAAGAAGAAAACTTACATAATCCCACCCCAGATCCCCATTCAGTGAGTAAACTCGAACTTCACTGTTGATTATTCAATCATTCTTTTCCTATTTAAAAGAGTGATGGCGTAACCACAGGCAACTGTAAAGTTTTTACAGTTTAACAACAAATTCTACCAACAATGGTGAAGGAAAAATATCAACAATGTTTATGTTTATGTTTGTTTATGTATTTAGCAGACGCTTTTGTCCAAAGCGACTTAGAAGTGATAATCGGCATATTGCCCTTGAGGCTAACAGCAACAATAACAACAACAACATTGACATCAGGAACGTTTATGCGATAAAACAGAGTAAACGACAGAATAAATTAAATTAGGGATTCTCATCTCTATACTTTGTCCAGACCTTATGTTTATGTAACAGTTTAAATTGATTTATAGTTTGGCATTGCTTGTGTTGTAAGTCCAGTTTGTTCCAGAATTTCACTCCGCATACCGACACACGGACATATTTACAAGTAGTTTGAACTCTTGGCAATGAAAAACATCCAAAACCTCTCAAGTTATGAACACGTTCAGGAATTGAAAAGAAACGTTGTAGGTTAGATGGTAATACTTTATTGAATGCTTTGTATGGAACTATTGATGTATTATATTTAACAAGATCATCACATTTTAGCAGCATTGATTTCATGAACAGATTATGGGTGTGTTCTAGAAACCCAACCTTGTGGACATAGACGTAATTTTTGGGGGGGACAGGGGGGACATGTCCCCCCCCCCACTTTCTCCAAAGTCAAGTTTTCACCCCTGCACTTTTTACCAATACTCTATATTAGGGCTGCAACAACGAATCGATAAATTCGATGAAAATCGATTACTAAAAGCGTTGGCAACGAATTGCGTCATCGATTCGTTGTGTCGCACAACTCTTCCAAAAGCGCCCCCCCTTCCCGCCCGCCGTTGCGCGCAGACCAGAGCAAGTCAGATCAGCGCGAGGGAGAGCCGGCAGATCAGCGGGAGGGAGAGCCGCAGATCAGCGCGAGGGAGAGCCGCAGATCAGCGCGAGGGAGAGCCGGCAGATCAGCGGGAGGGAGAGCCGCAGATCAGCGCAAGGGAGAGCCGGCAGATCAGCGCGAGGGAGAGCCGCAGACTTGCGCTGCTGCGAACCGGTTCCGCATTGTTGCACAGCGATCCAGGCAGCTGCTTCCAGCGCACGGTCCATTCTCAAAGTGGCGCAACCAAAAAACTATAATTAGCACAGGATCGTTCTTGTCTGCACATGTTCTCTATTTTCTGTCTTATTTGTGCCTGAAGCTTGCTACTGCGGAGCTCATCACCTGTGCTGTGGTGATGTCACCTCACGCAGCATCGAAAACGCGCTCTGCGCTTTTCGGTCAGGAGATCCCTTTGATCTGCTCAAAAGTAACTGATGAGGTGAAAAGGTAAGAATCCAGGCAACAGATTTTCTGGAGAATTAAGAGGAGATGCAGGAAGATGAGAGACAGACAGGACAGGAAAATAGTTCAATAAAAACAAGAAAACAAAACAAAGTGTTGAAAAGTAAAATGTAGGTAGATTTATCACCACTACACGTTTTTACCTATAAAAAACAATAAGTTATACACATGTCCTATTTATACATCTGATACAATTCAGATCACCTTCAAAACTCAGTCACACACCCAGGGCCGTTTCAAGACATTTTGGGGGCCAAGGCAAAATGCCCCCCCCCCCCCCCCCCCAAATAACTGGGCTCCCCAGAAGCCTCTGTGTAATTCATGCCCTCTCCAGTAGTGTTAGTTATATGGTGTTTATAAAAGCCCCTCAGACATTACTGACATGTTCTAATATTATCAGATGAAAAACTAAATTATCAGACATGCTGTCTCATCTGCTGCTTTTATAAACTTGCAAAAAGTAACAAAACCATTTGAAAGCCACTATTTGTGGATTCTCTGAAAGTTTCCATGGAGTGTGTGACAACTTATTTTTTCATTGATCCTATCGTCTAATCTCACAGCTGAAACAAGCATCCTTAATAATCTGTGCACAGGAAGCTTACCGATGCTGTAGTAAAACAAAAGGTATAATAATTTATTATTAATAAAACCTTGTTGCAGCACTAAAGCAGAAAAATTTGATTTTGCATTAAATATGCAAAATATTTACATATGAATTGTTTTAGAGCCCTTTAATTGGCAGAATCTGATATTAATTTAGTTCTTACAAAAAATGGGTCCCAACATGGTTTGTGTGGCGTTGCCATAGTGTGACATCATAGGCACAGATCCCCTGTCCTCTTGTTTGGAAATGGAAATATGATCACCCTACATTAAACAAACTGTCCACCCGGGATTTTGTACTGCACAGAGACGCTTCGCTGCCTATGACTGAACGTCAGTTGAGAGTCAGTCTCATGCAGAATGACCAATGAAGAGAGGGCCTCAAGTTAAGACCCTCTCCTCATTGGTCAGTCCACACGAGGTGGGTCAAAGGTTACTCTGGGCGGGTTACGTGTTGTCAGGCATTCAAGTATTGAGTATATTTACTGCATATTACAGTAAAATATTCTGTATGTGACCACATTATGGTGATCCTTGGGCCGTGATGATGGAGCCCTTGAATATTGTTGCCCAGGGTACAACAAAGTGTTAATCTGGCCCTGGTTCCGCTGTCACATTCCCGCAGAAACTGGTGGATCACACTGGGGCCAGACTAACATGTGGTTTTACAACCACAATGTCCTCAGAAGCAAAAACGCTTTTAAAAGGGAGGGAGGAGTCCTAACTGTTGCTGCAGGCGTGTTGTGTGAGAGTGCAGTTATATACTGGTTAATATATTTTTGGGTTAAGTTGCTTTCATGTGGCCTAATGTGAGTCTATTTGGGATCATTGGAATGATCAGCAGCATTTCTTGATGTGACTTTATGGCAGTTGCCCAGGGCATCATCGCAAGGAGGATGGCATTCATTTACTTTTGTTTTATTTGGTATTTTTTCAGTCATTTTTGGAAATAGTGATCAATTTTGATTAATTCACAGCCTATGTTTAATTACATTTAAAATAAATGTCAACAGATGAGATCAAACAAAACAGATGAGAATTGCCCTTAAGCTGTTTAACTTGGACCAAGCATTTTAGGTCACAGATAGATGTAGCTTAGGGTCTCTGTCTATACACCTTATAAGACAATTTAGGTGATGGCATGTTGTTTTTCTGCTATTGAACTGTTTTCTAATAATGTTGTGTTAAATAAAGTGAAGGAAGGAGAGAAATAACGTTTCCCTAGCAGTTTTTAAAAATTTCCCCATGTAATCCGATTAATCGATTAATCGTGTCGAGACCCCATCCGATTAATCGATTATCCAAATAATCGTTTGTTGCAGCCCTACTCTATATTAAATTGGCACTGGTTGAGCTCTAGGACCAAGCAGAAAACAACCATTTGTGTTGAAGCCTGTTTCCCATTAGAACATACTGTAATGTCCCCCCACCCACCCACCCACACACACACACACACACACACACACACACACACACACACACACACGTGTCCCCCCCACTTCTAAAGTGAAAATTACGTCCATGCTTGTGGTTGATTCGCACTGCTCTTTTCTGTAATATGATCAGAGAATGTAGTGTGTTATGATAAGTATTCCCCCACACTTCAACACAATACGTAAGGTATGGGAGTACCAAGGTGCAGTATAAAGTATGTTTTCATAAAGGTATCATTTTTGCTTTATTTATAATTGAGAGGCTTTTGGAGATTTTTGTTTTTATGTGTCTAACATGGGGTTTCCATGACAATTTACTATCAATTTTTACTCCTAAAAATGTAGTTGAAGCTTTACTGCACTTAAGACCTTAGGGTGCAGTTGGAGTATTGGGATTGGGCCTTGGACTCTTCCTCCAAAATAGATTTAGTGCTTGAGTTTAACCAGTAGGCTTGTTTTACTGCATCGTCGTAGTGGTACTCTGAGAGGCAACCTGTCTGAATAACTCTGGAGATTATGTTTCCTGTTTGCTTTATTTATAGATTGTTGACAGAATGTTTTTAAATTCCAGGTAATAAAAAGGATCAAACCAGTTTTAAATGGTGTGTTAATGGAATGTCCCTGAGGCTCCTCGTGTTTCAGATGAACTGAAGGTTTCTCTCCTGGTTGTGAAGGATTTAGTTTGAAACACAATGAATGGGTGAACTGCTGTCATCGTGTGAAACCTGCAGCCTTCTTAGCTCTGATCATCGATCCTCGTGACAGAAGTTTAGCTGAATAGAGACTTAGTTTATCCACACAAACCCTTACTTATACTGCATGTTCAGACAGCCATATGTAGAGGTAGTGGGTGGAGTTTGGTGGCAGGAGGATCTCCTTTCTGTCTTTTGTGGATGAGGTGGTACCCTTATCTCCATCAAACTGTGACCTTCAGCTGTTGCTAGGAGGATGATCAGTAGCAGGCCGTGGACCTGGACCTATCCAGTGTGGATATCAAGTACTGGGTTGGGGCGAGGTCCTGCCTTATTATGGGAGGAGTTTAATGGGCCATTCCCATCTGTACCGGGTCGGCCCGGGCCGGGTAGCTCCAGTCGGCCCCAGCCTGGCCCGGTTGATTCCACACATCCTTGTCTTAAGCCCACGTGGGCTGATTCTACCCACCAATCAGAGGCTTGCTCTAATGGAAGGTGTGAATTTGCTGTCAGCAGTGGGTGTGTTGGCCCTGGTCGGCCTGAAGCAGACCCCCTCGAGAAGAGGGCTGAGAATGAGCCTTGGTTGGCCCGGAAAAATACCAGGCCACCCAGATATGTAAACAACCTACGCTACCCGGCCCGGGCCGACCCGGTACAGATGGGAATGGCCCATAAGCAACCCTGAGTGGTGATCAGATTTATTTTAAGAGTCATCTCTGAGAGATTTAATTATTTTAAGACTTTAGATCCAACGTGTGAGTGCAGGCTCATGATTCCAGAGACTTCCTGTTCTGTGAAAATGAATCTTCACCTGAGGATACGTTTTACATGATGACCTAATCGATGGGCTCCTAACAGGATATTCACACGTTTGTCTCTGGGCTCCCACAGAACAGCAGCAACTCTCCAGGACCAACGAAAGGTCCGACTGTCGCAGCCCGACTCAAACACCTCCAGCAGGGCAGCCTGGAGAGACCCAAAACCCGTAAACAGAAAGAGGACTTCCCTAAGGTCCAGGGCCAGCAGCAGGTATTCCACTTCTAAACGCTCCACCTGCTTCTCCCCTCGCTGTCACTTCCAGGAAACCTCCACCTGATCCTTCAGAAGACGCAGAGGCGCAGAACCTGAGCTCACCTCCTCTTCTCCGCCTGGTTGACCTTTGGGTTTGCAGACGAGCGTCTTAGACGTCAAGTTTTTGCTGAGTCTGTTTGGAATCCTGAGGAGAATCTGGTGATTTATTCAAACAGCTGAAATGTTACGTTATGACTTAAAGTTTAAGGTTTACTGAAGAGGATGTTAAAGTTCTCAGAAAACAAAAGTAAAAAAAAAACATAAAAAGAAAAAAGATGCTGAAGAAACAAAATCAGAAAGTGTTAGATAAAAAAAAACTGCTAACTGTTTTATTGAATCATTTCATTTTAAAGATTTTAACATTACAGTTGTCATTTAATTTCACATTTGTCTTTTCCTGAAAACTCACAGAAGCAAAAGTGTTCTTCTTTTCTGCAGATTTTCAGCTGAACAAAAGCAGTTAAACATCACATATTATGTTTTGGTTTCAGGTTTAATTCCAACATTTTCTAACAACGCTTTACAATTTAGCCGTTTCTGTAATCAAACATGACCTCACGTCCTGTTCACGCAAACGATCCACGAGTCAAAAAATAGAAAACTCCTTTCCGTTTCAAAGGACCAATAAATGAAAAGCTGGATTTTAACGGACGTTTATGTTTAAATGATGTTCACCAGACGAGACGAGAAAAGGATTCAAGTAAGTTTTGCTTTTCTGCTCGATTCAAAACCTACACAACCTTAAAAAGTTACCAGATTAACCATTTTAGTTTCTTCAGTCTTTTATTTTTCTGAAGAATAAACGTCAAACTGAATCTAAAAACTGATGATTTAGGAAGCATCCGTGATTAAATCTGTGTTTTTATTGACTATAAAGTCGCCTCGACGCTAGTTAAAACACACCAGGAGGATTGCCTCCTGGTGCTTCGGTCTGAGTTAGAAACTGATGATGTTTACTGACCCGACCGATTAAACGATGAGACTATTCCTCAATGTGGGAGTTAGATACAAAGTTCTGCAGCTTCAGAACATTTGGACCCATGAGGTCTCAGCTTGGCCCCGTGACCCCATACAGGTAAACAGAACCCGTGAACAAACACGGTCCGGTGCGCCCACCCTACAGCAGCTCTGATCCAGAACCTTCTTGTCTCAGCTGAGCCACAGAGACTTGTTCTGCTGCCGAAGAGTTAAAACACAATATTTCCTGTCATTCAGAGCTCCTTACGTCTTCCTCCTCTTCCTCCTCCTGTTTCTATCTCACATTTCCTCTCATCTTCACCTCCTGTCCCCTCTGCTTGTTTATTTTCCTCTTGTCTCCTTTTCTAATAACATTTTTCAATCTTCACTTCATCTCTTCTGCTTTTCTTTTGCTCAGCGCTGCTTGCATCGTTTCAGCCTTCATCGCTTTGTTTCCTCCTCTTCCTCAGTTCTCACTGCGACACTCAGAGGAGGAAGAGGAGCAGAATTAGGGCACAGATTTCTGACAGCAGAGCAGCTCAGAATTATTCCTGCAGCAGCAGTCCTCGTCTCTCACGTGCACAAGTCAGTCACACTCATGCACTAAAGCCCCGCCCCCCTACCGGCCAATCAGAGCTCACAGGAGGAGAGAGTTCAGGGAGTCACGGATCAGATTTAACAAAAACTTCATACGTGTTGTCTGTTGTCTGATTTTTATCTTTTCTCCCCTCCTCCCCCTCTCACGCTTCATGTCTTCATTCAACTTTTATCTTCTTTGCTCTTAACCCCCATCCCTACCCCCACGGGGCAGTCCTGAGCTTCAGATCCATCATCTTCATCATCATCATCATCATTTTCGCTACTGTTTTACTTAGCTGCTTTTTTCTGATGTTATTTTACTCTTTCAGTTTGTGTATTAATTTTTTTTTTTTTTTTTTTTTAGTTTTTGTTCCATCCTGTCTGCTTCTCAGGTCTCTCAGGTCTCATCCGGACTGATCACCTGAGGAGTGAGAACTCGGATCATTCTGGTTTTGGACTACTAAACCCTAATCCACACCTCAGAGGTGTGACGTGTCATTTGACCCGGCTGTCTGTTAAAGCGGCTCTGGACCTGCATCATGAAGCAGTTTGTCACATTAAACATGTAAATCCATTTTCCACCTGAGCTAACAAACGTCTGTGTCCCAGCTCCACTCCGGAATAATCCGCTCGCGGGCTCAAAATGAATCTAAAGGTCGACAGAGAGTTTTTAGAAGAAACTAAATAACAAAGAAAAACAGGTGGAGGTGGTTTTTAGTTTTCTGCAGCAAGTCTTAAACCCAAGTTTATTGTTCTGTGAAGAATCAGAAGTGTTTAAGAGAAGGTTGATGAAATATAGATAAAAATAAAATGTTTACAAAATACAGTAAAATACCAGCTTGTTTTATTAAGGCTGTTATCTCTTTTTTTGTCAGAATAATAATCTATAATGCTAATGATCTGTTAAACACACAGTTTAAAGATGAAAATAAGCATCTTAATTATTAAAATGTTTCAAAGCTCCAACCATCAGCTGCTTGCTTCAGCTTTAAAATCTTCCGATGACCGCTGCCTGTTGATGCGAAGGTTTCAACCGGAGATCCACACGGATGAGAGGAGAGAATAAAAAATATTCGATGGTTTTATTAGTTTAAAAGTCTTTATGTTAATATTTTATTATAGTTAACAATAAAGTGTTTCAACCTTAATGCATTTTTATTTACAGGCAAATTCATAGAACAATGATAAAAAAACTTTAATATTTATCTTAAGATGGACTAACGTTTGATTTTTGTTTTCAAAGAAAATCCGAATCTGAAAGCTGAAACTGGGACTCAGATGATGGGTTAACATTTAAATCTTTAGATGTCCTAAAATGATTTTTTAAAGTTTAAATGAAACCTGAAGATTTGAGCCGAAAAATCTCCAAACGGGAAGAAAATGTGTGGCAAGTCTTTGGAGGGAATCTGAGTGTTTTAATTGAAATGAATAATAATTACCTTGTAAATGGAATGTATCTGTGGGCTCAGATTAGATTAATAATCCAGAATTAGAGACGTTAACCTCCTCAGATATATTGTATGTATATTGTTCTAGAACCATTTTGTTTTAGTTTTAAAGAGAACGTGTAAAAAGAGAAGTCATCTATGTTTTATAGAATCGAGTTCTTTTGTATTTTTATACTTGAAGATTCATAAACATGTAACACATTTATTCTGTAAATTATTATTTTTCTGAGTTAAAGATTTTATTTTTTCTGCGAACCATAAAACGAACCATGATCACGTGAGACGCTCCGGATAAGAACTGTATAAACAATTTAAATAATAAAAAAACAAAGCACATGAGCCAATCGGGACGTCATGTCTGTAGCCGTTTCATTCTAACCAATCGTGTGCGTTCTCTCAGATTACACTTTAACCTGTTTATCGTTGGTTTCCTGATGAGCGTGTGACTGTTTGACCGTCTGTGGATGTTTGAATCATGTATATAAACCCTAATGAGATATTATCAAATAATTTTACGTGAAAGTTTTATATAGAAGAAAACAAAAGTCTGAAAAGGCATGCAATCTGTAAACATTCCTGAAATCTGCACGCTGACTCAACAGATCTCATCTAAATTCAGTGTAAACCTGTGTGTGTACCATAGAGTAAAAGTGTACAGAAATATAGGTTTTTGTATTCCGTTGGAGCTCCGTCTGTCAAAATAAAACACTAAAATACTAACGGAGAAATAAATCCAAACAATATTAATCATCTAAAAGCTGTTCCTTCAGTTTGAAAGTGCTGCTTGCTGTGTGGGTCGGTGTTGTTCGTGAATTGTGAAGAAGAACGATGATGATCAATAAACTGTAAAACAAAGCACAACTCTGTCAATGAAAAGAAAAAAAGCTGCTGCTTTTTGTACATTCCTGTTATGTTTTTGTGACAATAAAGGTGATCCTCTGATACGTCACAGCTATCAGTGAATCGTTGAAGCTCCAAAAGTCCTAATCATCTCCTAAAACTTGGATTAGTGTGAAATAGTTGAGAGAAGCTCTCAATTTACCAGTCGATCTATATTCCTACCATCACCTATGGTCATGAGCTTTCGGTAGTGACCGAAAGAATGAGATCGTGGATACAAGCAGCCGAAAGGAGTTTTCTCCAGATGGTGTCTGGGCTCTCCCTTAGAGATAGGGTGAGAAGCTTGGTCATCTTGGAGGGGCTCGGAGTAGATCCGCTGCTCCTCCACATCGAGAGGAACCGTTTGAGGTGGCTCGGGCATCTGGTCAGAATGCCTCCTGGACGCCTCCTTGTGATGGAGTTTCCATTCACGTCCAATTGGGAGAAGACCTAAAGGAAGACCCAGGACACACTGGAGAGACTATGTCCCTCGGCTGGCCAAGGAACGCCTTAGGATTCCCCCGAAGGAGTGGGTCTTAGTGGCTTAGGAGAGGGAAGTCTGGACCTCCTTGCTTAGGCTACTGCCCCTGTGACCCGACCCTAGATAAGCGGCCGGATGGATGGATAGATTGGTGAGAAAAGATCATCAGTGTTAACTTTACATTTACTCACCTCACCGAGCCAGTCTGATCCCACTTTGATACTGCATAATATGATATATTCTAGATAGAATAACCAGTCAGACCAGTTAGAGATAGGAAACATGCCAGTCAGCTTGTTTCTGTGACTTTTAGCATAGCATAGTTTATTTATATAGCACATTTAAAATGCAGCATGGGAGCTGCCCAAAGTGCTGCACAGGCTAAAACAAAACACACCCATTACAAGGAGCTAAAACAAAGGATAAAAATCTCAATTAAAAGCAGAGAAAACATGATGAATACTAAGAACACAATTAAATCAATGACACAATAAAACACTAAAACGAGTCACTGTCTAAAAGCCAAAGTGTAAAAGTGGGTCTTTAAACGAGATTTAAAAACCGCCAGAGATGGAGCCTGCCGAACTCCAATGGGCAATGAGTTCCATAGCTTTGGGGCAGCACGGACAAATGCTCGATCCCCCCGCGATTTGAGTCTCATCCGCGGCGTGTGCAGCAGCAAAAGGTCAGCCGACCTCAACGAGCGGGTGGGCACATATGGAGTGAGAAGGGCAGAGAGGTAGGAAGGTGCCAGGTCATTGAGTGCTTTAAAAACAAAAGTCAGTAACTTAAACTGCACTCTGAAAATGACAGGGAGCCAGTGAAGATGTTCCAGGACAGGGGTAATGTAGCTACGTCGGTGTGTACCCGTCAAGAACCTGGCAGCAGCGTTCTGAACAACCTGCAGCCGATTCAGGGCGGAGTCCGGAACACCAATGAGGAGGGCGTTTGCATAGTCCAGGCGAGAGGTAATGAATGCATGAATGACTGACTCCAAATGCCTCCGTTTCAGGATTTGTCTGGATGTGCGTTTGGTTTACGTACAATAATAAGACTAGCTGAGTTCAGAGCTAAAGGAAATTACAACAAATGCATCTTCCAACCTGTTGCTGAGTTATCTGGACATTTTCCTGAATGATGTCCATGACATACTGGACTTGTGTCCAGTCAGCAGTCCCCTCTGTGATTGTGTATCCGACTGACTCAGACTGAGACCATTTAGACTCTCAGGACCTTTGCAAGTGTTTTGCAGTAATTAGCTAATTAGGTGTGACATTTTATTTTGACCAAATCTTATTTTCACAAAACATTGTTAAATGATACTAGTGACTCACAATCAGATGTATAAAACATTTTATTTGCGAAACTGCAGAAGCAAAGCAGAAATTCAGCATTCTAACATTAAAGTACTAAAAATAATTCACCTATTATACAAATGTGTGTCAGCATATGTGAGAGGTAAAACTATCAGTTGGTAACAGGTCTTTGATCAAAGAGAGATGTCCGAGGAAACCTGCAGCTTCTGTCCCTGTTTCCACTTGGAGCTGAGCCGAACGCCGTCAGCCCGCCTGTACGGCTGGTTCCTTAAATCTGAGGAGATCAAAACAAAACCTGGTTTGTAATCATTCTGTTGTTCTGAACAGATTTCTGTGGAGAGTTTGGTCCGACTGTCAACAGGTCAAGTTTCTACTAACTACAGCAGTAATCCATTCACAGGCACCAGCAGGTGGCACTAAAATGAGAAAAGAACATTGTAAATAATTTCAGTGTTGTCTAAAAATTACAAAAGTGTTTTCAGATGCAACAACATGTTCCTCATTGTATATGGAAACATATTTTAACGTTATAGGTACAAGATGTAGACGTTAAGTAATAATGACATCCTATGGTCAAAACTGAGCAATATTGAGTTGTTGGTCATCGCAAAAGTATGTTTTTAGGGTTAGAGTTAATTAGCATTGGGTTAGGGTGGGCAGTCAGACTGTTAACTAAATATGCAGCCAAGATCATGACTAGTAACTGATAGGTAATTTAATGTTATCCCATATTACCTTAAAGGACGACACACCCAGAGAGAGAGAGAGAGAGAGTAAATTGATTATTTGTAATGTCCATGTGCGTGACTCAACCAGCCCCCACTCTGCTCCAACCTCAAAGCTTTCTCCTCACCTACTCTGTATACCTGCATTCTCCAATTATCTGTTAGATAATATTTAACCTCCATAACCCTGGAACCTGAAATAAACACACATGACAACAAGGAAGACATTTTACACTGAATTAGCCAAATGAGGGGGAGATCACCAAAATGACACATAACTCTCTCCAGAGCTAGCTGCCAGGCGACTCCCCCAGTTCTCAGAGTCTTCAGTGGTTTTATTCAAGCAAAGGGTGGGGGGAGAAGGCGGACCTTCTCAAGTTACAGAGGTACAGAGTTTTCTCAATTAACATCCTTGCTCTACCGTTCATGAACAGCAACAGTTGGCCATCTTTTAGGCCTCAAAAAGGTACAATTATAAAAATACCCAACAGTAACTGCAGCTTTAAAGCAGAACTGACAACATAACCTGATCCTCAGCACTGCACCAGACTCTCCTCTTGTTGCTTAAAAATGTTCTGATCATGAGTTGTGGACTTAGGATTTACAAGTCATAGTAATACACTCTAACTAGGGTTTAGACTGATTAACCCTCATATCTGTAGTTCAGTGCAGCGAGAAACGCTCTGACCTCCATACAGGTGAAACAAGTGGAGACAGCACAGTGTGTGTTGTTCTACAGCATATAAGTCCTGAAACGTCACCGACAAGAGAAGAAGTCCAGAAGCTTTTTTACTCGTTGGAACTGAAAACAGAGCAGGTGTGCCTTCTGTACCTGTGATGATGTCCTCGATGGCACCATCTTTCTCCTCCCTCACCAAAGATGTTACCTGCCTCCTCTTCAGCTCTGCAATCAGATCCATCTGAGGTAATCTGGCCATCACAGGAACCTGAAACAGCAGGCACAGAAAGGTACCCATAAGAGATTGAGCTTTTCTGGAGACAATCAGGGTGTCTGCAGAACCATTTGGTTAGGGTTATGGGCTCGACACACGGTAGGCGACATCGCCTCTCCATTCATTTTCAATGAGACATGCGCGACAAAGCGATAATCGCGGGTCTCCCTCCTACCAAGCGAAACGCGAAAAACGTGCGTGTGAAATTTTGCGCTCGTGCACGTGTCGTGCACAGGCGACCCAGCGATGCGATCCCAGAAAGTTGAAACATTTTCAATTTTTCATCGCTGTCGCTCGGACGAGGACCAATCAACGGAGGTTTCATTCACTGACCAATGAGCGGACAGGATGCTCCGTACACCCCCGAGCAAACATGGAGGAGAAGTTGATTATTATTATGTTTTATATAGTAAAATCAGAAGTAAGATTTCACATAACTCTAACAGCACTTTGTGAAACATCATATCTACCACTTTATTAACTCTGAACCGCTTAAATAACCTTAATTCCCTCCAACCTGACACAGCCAAACAAAACAACGGAAGTTTCGATTTCGCCATGGAACAGAACGCGTAGACGGTTTTGCCGCGGATCGCCTCCCGTGTGTCAGGTAATAAAAGCGACAGCGACAAATTTCGCTGATCGCGGTCGTTTGTCGCCTCCCGTGTGTCGAGCCCATTAGGGTCACAGCATGCCACCTGAACACAGATAGACAGCTCACATTACTCTTAGTTACTCGGATCAGATGTCAAAAGGGACATATTTTACCCCTTTTCCAAAGCAAATGACACAGCTGGATGAACCAAGTTCAAAATCAGACAAAGCTGAGGCAGTATTTAAGATTGGATCTTCACAGTGTGGAGCAGATAAAGTTTAGCACAAATACTTGTTCCAAACATTTTGCCAGTGTGAAAGGTCCTATGTCTGTGAACGACGAGTCGATACTAGCAACACTCTGAGTTACCCAGGAGGAAGCAGCCTGAACATCTCGGCCAAACAGCATGCCCATCCAAAACATGGACGGAAAAGGATTTTGACCTGAGGTGAGTGGTATGTGAAAAGTAGAACACAAATAATTAACTTCAGCGCTTTGGGCTTCCTGACAGGGTTGCAGAAGGCGCTTTATAAATAAAGCTTTGATTGATTGATTGAACTTTGAGAAAAAAAGTACTTTGCTTGAGCATAAGAGTTAGAAATTTAGCATGCTAGGCCGCCCCGATGTAAGCTGGATCGACAAACAACTAAATCACTCAAGGGGGTTTTGAATATTCTGATGGTAATACTGTTGGCTGGTGACTTTGAACAAAACCCAGGACCTGTTTTAATCCCTGCTCAAGGTCATCAGCTGCTCACTGGGCAAATGCCACGGCTACCAGAGTCACAGCAGCCAATAAGGCAAATTCCATCCTTCCTACCCTGGCCTCAGCAGCTAATACCACCGCTGATGCATGAACCACAGCCATTACAAGGACAAATACCACCTCTGCTACCTGGGTGCCAGCAACAAACATCTCTAACATTACCTGGGCCATCATCACCATTGTTGGCTGGTTTCCCTTCATCACTGACTGGGCCTTTCCCACCTGGACTTCTACCTCTGCTGTCTGGATCTTCACCCTTGGTACATTTGGCTGGGTCACCATCATCGCTGACTGGGCCCTTTTCACCCAGATTTCTACCTTTGCTGCTTGGATCTTCACCCTTGGGGTATTTGACTGGATCACCATCATTGCTGTCTGGGCCTTTCCCACCTGGAATTTTACCTTTGTCACCTGGTTTTTCACCCATGGTGCCTAGGCCTCTACCTTTGATGCCTTGGCCTTTACCCCCTCAGCCTAGGTATCCACCTTGGCTGAGTGGGCCTCAAACTTCCCTTCTTGGGCCCCTGCTGGATGGACCTCCACCCATACTGTCACCACTGCATGCAGAATTTTCACCAGTACTTTCTGGGCCTTTGTCACGGCCGGCTGGACCTTTATCAATGTTGCCTGGACCCTTGCCTTTGTTTCAACGAACTGGACGGAAGAAGAAGCATGGAGTGGACTTTCGTCTGCTTCGCCCTCTCCAGAAATGTAAGCCCTGTTCCAGTATTAAAGTGGGATTATTCAATGCACAGTCACTCTCAAATAAATCTAGTCTAATACAAGCTTGTATAACTGACATGAAAATTGATGTAATGTGCCTTACTGAGACTTGGCACAGACCAGATTCTTACATGGCATTAAATGAGGCCTGTCCTCAGGGGTACATTTACCTGGAGAGGGCTAGATGTACTGGACGTGGGAGAGGTCTGGCAGTTATTTACCGTTCTGATCTACAACTGTCCCCTCTTCCCCTGCCCAGAATGTCCACATTTGATTGTCTTTCATGAACTTAAGTTATGAACTATGTTGTGACTTCAACTGTGAAGTAAGATATTACAAACAAACCCTTGAACCACAGGACGGCCCACTGCTAGTTACTACCTCAAGAGTTCACCACAACATCAACCACTTTGTACTGATGGCTGATGTTGTACTAAACTGGATTCCTGTGGTTTCATAGCGAAACCAGCTAATGTGGTGTTCTGAGTCGTGCTGCCTCACACAGAGAGAGAAGTCAAACATGAAGCCGATCTGATCCATGTTCTCAGCTCTGAGTCTGTTTGACCGATGTTTTTACAAAAGGAATCACAAGTTGCTGAGTTTGACACTGATTGGGTCAGACATACGTCCACTAGAACAAAACATTTTCAATTATTAAAGCACACAACTGCTGTAGTCGAGCTGATCAAACACAGTTACAGGTAGTTCTCTCGTTCAGCTGTATGTACCTGTCAGATACGGTGTCACTTTGGAGCAAGCAAAAAAAAAAGCAGATCAGGGTGCCACTCAAAGGTCAGTTCAGCCATTTAGGTTATTGGAAATCCTTTCAGAACATTTGAATTTTAATAAAAACTCAATCAGTCAGAAGGTCTTGGAGCTGAAGGAGAGAAACTAATCTAAACTTCTTTGTTTGTTATTGTGGAAATAGTTCTGACTCTGGATCAGTTTCAAGGTGTTCTAGGTTCTTTAAACACTGACGTTAGGAGCAGTTGAAATAGAAAGTGAACATGTGGTTATTTGATAAATCGAAGAATTCTTTGATGGCTGCAACCCTAAAGCCTTATTAACACCAAATGAGGAACAGATGTGTTCCGGTTTCCGTACAGCCTCCTCATTGATGACAATCATTGAGTCTAATCAGACATTCACACCAGCTGCGCTGCAGCACCACTCTGGATGCGGAGCTCTGGAAAGTTTCTGCATGGAGTCTATTTTTTCTAGACATCATACGTACAACGTCAAGAAGTCAAAAAAATTTGTGATGACATCACCGCCACTTTGGGTTTTTATTTGTTTTTCTGTTGTTTTTCTTTCTGTGTTTGGTTCTTTTCTGTTCTGTTGCAGGTCTCTTTAATGGAAAGTGAGTGCACCTGGGTATGGAGTGTTGCTGCGTATAAAGCCTGCTAACTTTTTATTCGTCTCTCCTGTGCAATAGAGAGTCCTCTCTGGCCCTAATTTATGCTTTTTTAAAGTGACAATGTGTTGTTTTTATAGGTAATCTCTGGGAATATCCATGAAAATGTTGTTGAAAATCAATTAAATGATGCCCAGTTGTTGAAATATTTTGGCAGCTTTGTAACATATAACCATACAAATCTGGTTTAAAATACATGGGAGCGGGTCTCAGGCCCAATCTCAATACTCGCACTGTGCCCTGCAGTCTTCAGCAAAGTGCACGTGGAGAAAGTGTGCAGTAGGGTTTGAGTGCATAGTACACAAGTGTGCAAATAATTGCCGAAATGAGACAGGGAGCATTGCGTCATCGATCGCAAAGCATGCCGGGATGCTGGTCGCTGTGAAACTTATTTCAAAAACCTTTATTAACAACTTTCAAACAAATAATAAAGCAATTATTTGAAATTAATTTAACTTCATTGCTGCTTTGTCTAAAACACTGAGAGCATCCGCATCGCTGCAGACGTGGGTGAATTGCAGCTTAAGGGTGCAATGGGGACGTGGTCAACTTCTGCACTTGAGAATCAGGACACCCTATGCACTCGCACCCCTGGCTGGGCACAAACGAAGGGCGCAAGGGTGCAAGTGCGAGTGTTGAGATTGGGCCTAAGTCTGTGGGTGATGCCATATTAGATAACATGTTTGCTTCTACGGGAGCCAGTAAGGACAAAACACACTTGATGATTTGTAACAAACGGTTACAAAACTTTCACCATTAAAAAACATTTTTTTACACATTTACCTCTTCACTCATTGCCAGTGATGAAAGGGAGTCTGATAGGTTTGTCATTTTGCTGAAGTTTGCACTCAATTCAATTCATTTCAAATTCAAAGATACTTTATTAATCCCAGAGGGAAATTAGAGTTTCAGTACACACAACTCTGAGATCGGGGCTGCGCAGTGGCGCAGTGGTTAGAGCTGTTGCCTTGTAGCAAGAAGGTCCTGGGTTTGCTTCCCGGCCTGGGATCTTTCTGCATGGAGTTTGCATGTTCTCCCTGTGCATGCATGGGTTCTCTCCGGGTACTCCGGCTTCCTCCCACAGTCCAAAAACATGACTGTTAGGTTGATTAGTCTGTCTAAATTGTCCCTAGGTGTGTGTGTGTGTGTGCATGATTGTTTGTCCTGTCCTCTGTGTTGCCCTGCGATGGACTGGCTCTCTGTCCAGGGTGTACCCCGCCTGATTGCCCGTTGACCGCTGGAGATAGGCACCCCCCTTCCCCCCCAGCGACCCCGTGTGGACACAGCAGGTTCCGAAAATGGAGGGACAATTCTGAGATCAGACTCCCTGGGCCTTTTTGACCCTACTAGGCATCCATTGGTAAAGTCTAACTCCAACACAAAAATACTGCTTGCTTGCAATTATTTAGGTATCTACTGCCCCCATTCGCCATTCACACACTGGTGGGGATGAGCTACAATGTAGCCACAGCTGCCCTGGGGCGCACTGACAGAGGCGAGGCTGCCGAACACTGGCGCCACCGGTCCCTCCGACCACCACCAGCAGGCAACGTGGGTTAAGTGTCTTGCCCAAGGACACAACGACAGCAACAGACTGAGCGGGGCTTGAACTTGCAACCTTCCAAGTACGGGGCGAGCTCTTAACTCCTGTGCCACCGTCACCCCCTATTAACAATAGCTCATGTTATTTTACTGGTATATTTTTTAACGTATTACGCTAAATTGATAATCATTTGTTGCTCTTGTGGGAGCAGATTTCTGGAGACGTTTAAAACATGAACCGCAGCCAATGTGTCGGTTCAGAAGCCACACGTAACCAGAGTGCCTCCGTACCGCATTTGGTGTGAAAAACATCCAACATCTGTTTGTATTTAAAGCTCTAGAGTGAAAAGTGTCAGAGAGGATGTACCCGTTTCCATTTAGTAACGTTTGAAGACGAAACTGAAATGTTACCTTGTTTCCTGAACGTTTAGTTGGTGATGATGGACCTTCAGAGGTCAGACCTTGTTTCTCCACCTGCTTGTTCTCCTGCTCAGCTAGCTGTTAAAGAATATAAACGTTATACAGTAGCTCAGCCTGCTGCACAATGCACATTTTAGGACATCCTCAGGTCTCAGGTGTCAAAAAGTCCTTCAAACAAAAAGATATCAGGAAAACATCCTTTTGTCTGACGGAGTTGTTCTTGACACCTTTTTGTCTGATGCTTCTCAGCCAGAAATCTGACTGGCTATTTTACAAAACCTGATTTTTTTTCCTTCATGGTCTGATGTCTGACACCTGAGACCTGTTGATGTCCTAAAATGTACACCGTACTGCTGCTTCAGACGTCTGACTTCTGACCTTGTACGCTTTGATGAATCTGAGAAAAACAGGGAAGAACATGGATGGTGGGGTGGTTTTAGGATCCTCTCCAAAGTACTCCACAGTTGACTCATAAACCTCCTACCAAGACCAAAAATCATGTTTCAGAACTAGAACTTTACAGCTGAGTTTGGATTTAGTTCATCTGGTTAGGCGAGGCTGACCTGTGCAGTTTTGCTGTCGGTCTTCAGAGAGGCGAGCAGCTCAGAGTTGTCGCTAAGAAACTTCTTCAGGACCAGATTTTCTTCCTCTGTAGAGAACTGAGTCTTCATCAGCTCCATTCCTCTCTCGAGAGCTCGCAGGTCCAGCTGGAGGCTGTCAACGGGAACTACAGGACAGGAGATAATGCAAGAGGTTAAAGGTCAGACTGGAGCTCCAGCTTATGAACGTCTACAGGTGGTTTAGAATGCCTGTGCTCTGCTTCTGACCAAGTCCTCCAAACACACCCACATCACCCCACTTCTCCTCCAGCTTCATTGGCTGCCAGTCAACTTCAGGGTTCATTTCAAGATCCAGGTTCTGGTCTATAGGGCCTTACATGGACCAGCACCATCTTACATTGGTGATCTTCTTAGTCCCTACACACCCAGCAGGTCCCTGAGGTCAAGTGATCAAAGCCTACTGGTTGTGCAGCACCAGGCTAAAGACCAAAGGCGACAGATCATTTGCTGCTGTGACCCCCAGACTCTGGAACTCGGTCTCCTTTAAAAAGCACTTGAATAGGGTGTGTATGGGGAGCATGAGTGGGTGTCCGGCATGCACTTTTGTAAGTCTTTGGTTGTATGTGTATGTGTGAGCATGAGGGAGGGAGTGTTTGACTGTGTTTGTGTATGACTTTATATGTCAGGTGGGGCCTTTGACTCCTCTCTTCTCCTGGGACTTCTTTTTATGATATAGATCTTCGTCTCCCCTCTCCCTGCCACACCTGGTGTGGGGTGTGGTACCTTGGTCTGCCTGAGTGTTCGTGGCTCCTGGGTCAGGGAGTTTAAGATTTTTGGCGTCTGCCTGACCAATCCCGGTGGCTGTCTGGTGGGGTCTGGGTCCCTGGGCTCTGCTGGGTCCCCAGCGGGGGGTGGTCGCCTCAGGGTCCCGGGTCGCTGGGTCCTGGGCTCGGCCAGCTAGGGGGTGGGAGGCTGCGGGCGGGCCTGTGGGCTTGCCGCCGAAATCTCCCGGGACTCTGCCGGCTGCTGGTTGTGGCCCCCCAGGGCGATCCTCTGTGCCTCTCGAGAGGGGCAGGGGCTTTTCTGGTCGCAGTCTCCCTGGAGTTCCTGCGCTCTGGGGCAACTCCTGGATCTCTGGGACTTGGAGCTCCCTCCGTCCCCTGCACATCTTTAGGGGGCAGATCTGTGGCCCCTCACACTCTCTATTGGACGCTCCTATAGAGAAACCTTACATAAACAAGCGCGTGTACACACACAGGTGCTCACATGGTGCTCTCATAAGTATGGACTTGAATACGTTCAACACATGTCTTAAGGCTATGGTTGGCACTAAATGCACTGTGATTTATTATTGTATGATTGTTCAGTTAAACAATGTTGATCTTATATTTCTTCATCAAGTTGACGCAGTGATAGCTTGATCTTGTTGTATTGTTGTTGTGTCCCTTTTTTTTCTTTCTCTTTCTGCAGGTCTAGAAGCAGACTCTTGTTCATTATTGTTTATTTTTGTGGGGGAATTATTAATAACCAAAAAAAGTCTGTTCTGTTATTATGTAAATAAACACCAAACTCCACATGTTAATAGAGCCTAAACAGCAATCAGTTAACCACTTGTAAGCACGAATATGTTCTCCATTCTAAAGTCAGATTTTGTTCATACCTAATTACTAGTAGTTTAGTATTAATTAACCACTTGAAGGCAAGAATATGTTCCCCTTGAATTACTTCTTTAAAAGCCACATATTGATTTGAAAATATTAGTATGTGTGGTAATCAGCAACAAACCATTATGAATGGCTTATTTTGATAAAACTCTTAATTTATGGCCTGTTAATGTTAGAATTACGGCATTAGTAATAAGCTGTTAATAAGTGCTTAATAATGACTAGTTCAGACTTAGTAGTACACAAATATGCATATTAATTGGCAGCTAATTAATGGTTGATGTGTGTTCCCTGAACTAAAGGGTTACCTATAATTACTTTACGAGGAAGCTAAATCACCTGTCACAGAAAAATGCCACCACCGTATTCTGTCACCATGATAAAACTTAGCTCTAAGGAGACTGCTGCAGCACAACCTCACTGTTAACAGACTAAATTCTGACCCAACCCTGCAAACAGTCAACGTTGCATGGGCGTGCAGATCATGTCTTTTTTGAGTCCATTGGTCCAGACCACGTCTGTAGGACATTCAAACTAGGTCTTTGTATAGTGGGAATTAAACACATTTTTGTGCGACTCCATTAGTTCTGAAGACTTGAGCAACAAGCTGCTGCCCTTGGTGGATGATTAACTTTAAGGAAATAATGAAGTCTTAAGTAAAAAATATTCAACTAATTGCTTTGAAGGTCAATAAGAACAGATTATAAATGTGCTGTAACCTGGAACAAGATGAGCCTGTCAACGTGCTTGTACACTGAACTAATGAGCTTTTCCAGGCTGAAGCATTTCTAAAACTCAGTTTAATTTCAGCACAAACATTTAAGCCGAATCCTGCCTTTTATTCCTCAGCCCTCTGGGAGAAATCCCCAAATAGAAAATGCATTTGATTGTAGAAGCTCTAGCTGTCATGGTCTGCGTCTGCCCCTCCCTTCATGTGCCTCCTGGTGTTCTCCATCCCTCTCTAGATTCCCTTTGGTGTCTCTTAGCACCCTCATGTGTCCTTTGTCTGCGTCTCAGTTAGGTGTCTTATGTTGTAGCCTTTAGAATCATTCCTCCCTGGTCCCGTGTCATCTCATTCATCCCCAGCCCCTCCAGGTCTTCTGTGTGCTTGTCCATTCCCCAGTTCTGTTTATATATGTGTGTGTGTGTGTGTGTGTGTGTGTGTGTGTGTGTGTGTGTGTGTGTGTGTGTGTGTGTGTGTGTGTGTGTGTGTGTGTGTGTGTGTGTGTGTGTGTGTGTGTGTGTGTGTGTGTGTGTGTGTGTGTGTGTGTGTGTGTGTGTGTGTGTGTGTGTGTGCTTGTCCATTCCCCAGTTCTGTTTATATGGGTCAGAGTGTGTGTGTGTGTGTGTGTGTGTGTGTGTGTGTGTGTGTGTGTGTGTGTGTGTGTGTGTGTGTGTGTGTGTGCGTGTGTGTGTGTGTGTGTGTGTGTGTGTGTGTGTGTGTGTGTGTGTGTGTTTGCTTGTCCATTCCCCAGTTCTGTTTATATGGGTCAGTGTGTGCGTGTGTGTGTGTGTGTGTGCGTGCGTGCGTGTGTGTGTGTGTGTGTGTGTGTGTGTGTGTGTGTGCTTGCTTGTCCATTTCCCAGTTCTGTTTATATTTGTGCATTTGTGTGTGATGGTGTGTGTGTGTTAGTCCTTCCCACAGTCTTTAGGTTTAGTTTTGTGTTTTAGATTTTTTAGGTTATTTGGCCCTCCTCAGATTCTTTTTGATAATTACATTCACCTGTCTTCCCTCCACCCCTCACTCCACACTCCTGCTGCCAATTCCCCTAATGACTCCTCCCTGTTATTTAAGCCCTGTCTTGTCTCTGTCTTGTGTCGTTCCATTGTTTGTAATTCTGTCATGTCTTCTAGTGCCCCTCGTATTTGGATTTAGTCTTCTTGTGCCTTTGAATATATGGATACCCAGATCTTCATCTGGATTTTTGGACTTTGACTCCCAGCCTTTTTGGCTTAATTTTTGTTGTTGATCATCCTAAAAATAAAGGATTTATTTTTCTTATTCAACTTCTGCCTCGTGTCATCCTGGGTTTCTGCATTTTGGGTCCTCCAACACCGCAACGTGACACTAGCGTTCTGCTTTGCTGATCTAGAACGTCGTCCTAGAGATTTTTGTTTTGAAGTTGGTGTGTGTTTTTGTTATCAGGCTGAAAACCACCATAGATGACATTATCTTCAGATTTTCATTTCATGATGTGTTAATGAAGTAAATGATGTCAGAGTTTACCGAGAGCCGCCTTGTCTAAGAAGTTCAGCTCAGTGTAGAAGTTGTGCAGCTCCGGGTATCGCTGCTCGATGGCGTTCGCCATGAAGTGCAGCAGCGTCTGTCTGCGGTCAGTTGATTTGGTGTCCAGCAGCTTGGAGGAGTCAACAGAAGAGGAAAAACCATAAAACACCCAAAAAAATGCCTTCAGGTAGAAACGCTGCAGATGGATCAGAACCTGTTCCTCACCAGGTCCAAACTCTGCAGCCGGAACCCGTAAGCCGGCCCGCGCTTGCTGCTGTTCATGTAGTTTCCAAATGCCAGAATGATCTTTAGACCACAAATACAGATCAGAACCAAACTACAAATGACACAAGTTCCCGAGGAAACATCCATACCTCCAGGATTTTCTTCAGTTTGCTGGAAGACCTGATGGACATGGAGGCTGCGATGATGGCGTTCAGTTGCTGTTCAGATCAATGAGTAAAGGTCACCTTCACGGACACTCACAGAGCTAGACTGCATGTTTAGAACCTGGTTTCAGGAGGTCTGGACTCACAGGCTGGAGGAGCTGGATGCTCTGAGGGAAGTTCCCCATGAAGGTGAGTATGTTGATTCTCTGAGGAAGTTGAGGGATTTTGCTGAAACGGACCATGAAGCGTTCCTCCTCGCTGAGCTCATCCAGAGGCCGGCCTGCTGCCTCGTAGTTCTGGATCAGTCTCATCTCGTACTCTGTCGGGACAAAGCGCTCCAGAAGCTCGAGGAAGTCTAGGCTCAGCGCTTCCTGGTTGTACCTGTAAGGACAGCAGAGATCAGAGTTTGTTTGTGTCTGATGGAGCTGAAGTTCACAACCTACGTCTCAATGGCACTGCAGATGTCAGAGGCAGCCACCCCCTCCTTCCTCAGGGTGATTGCCAGGTTTTTGGCCCTGTTGGGCTCCAGTATAGACTTCCTGTTGGAGGCCTTATGGGTCATTTTCCTCTTCAGGGTTCCCAGATCTACAGGAGCTGACTGAGCTTTGGTTTTAAACTGCTCCTCAAAGGCCTCCATGTCTAGCTCCTGCAGTAGAACCAGGGACAAGGAGATGATTAGCGTCTGCTGCGTTTGCGTACTACTAACATCCTTCAGCGTGACGGGCTGTTGCAGCTTTATTAAAATACTCAGAATGATGAGACCGCCAGTTCAGACAGCCGCTGAGACTTTAAATTATGTCTTCGCTCAAAAATATAGAGAAGATTTCTAATATCGAAGTATAACGAAATACACAGAATCACTACTGATGCTTTTACTCTGAAGTAGTCTGAAACTTCACCTAATTTAACTATATTGGTAATTTATTCTGGTTTTCTTTTAAAGCAACAACTCTCTTTTACAGAGAATCAGGTAGATCTGGTCCGGCTTCTGAGACTTTGAATCTGATTCCATGATGAAGCATTTAAACACAGCGAGAACCAAACCTGCAGGACGTGCTCGTCGTCCAGCTCACTGAAGATGGTTCCTGCCACCTGACTGGACTTCAGAACCTGCCAGTTGAATAGCGGCATCCGATATTTGGTCTGAATGGGTTTCTTCTGTTTACAGTCTGAAAAAAAAAAACAACCTTCAGATTCTCAGATGAACGTCCTTCCAGCTCAGTCTCTAAAGCACACTGCTGCTAACCACTAAAACATTCTCCCTCTCCTGATAATAACTTTTTGGTTTCCTTGACTTTTGATGTGCTACTACTAGTTTATCCATTTAATTATAGATCCACTAGGATAAATACAATAAAGTTTATCTCTCACCAAATAGAATATTTACTAAGACATCACAATATAACTATAGACACATTACTTGTGTGTGTGTGTGTGTGTGTGTGTGTGTGGGCGCGCGTGCGTGCGTGTGTGTGTGTGTGGGCGCGCGTGCGTGCGTGTGTGTGTGTGTGTGCGCGCACGTGCGTGCGTGTGTGTGTGTCTGCCTGCTCTGTCTTCTCGATCCCCAGTGAGTCGTGGAGGATGGCTGCTTATACTGAGCCAGGATTCTCTGGAGGTTTCTTCCTGTTAAAAGGGAGTTTTCCTCTCCACTGTCGCTGCATGCTTGCTTGGTATGAGAATTGCTGTATGGTCACTGACACTAGTCAGTGACTTGATGCAATTTGCTGGGTTCCTAATATAGGAAACATTATTTCTGATTGGCTTA